TTCACTAACTGCTACGTATTTCAACACAGAAGCTTTTTTCCTTCCCCCAGAAAGTTGTAAATTAGAATAAGGGTCTTTTACGTGGTCTAGATCGAGGGCAGAGTAGACAATCTTCCCTCTGTCATCTCCGGAAAATAATTTCATTCCATTGGGACTCCAAGCTAAAGCCGTAATGCTACTTTTGTGGATACCAGCAACATCGAATCGCCGAAGCTGTGAAACAATACCAAAGAAAGACAAGAATGAAGGGCAAACACAGACACAACGCCTACTTGGTGACTCGGACTGATAAATCAGAGCTTCAATCCAAAAATGCAAGTCGTTCCAATTTCTGTTAGAGCAAACAAATAACAAACAACTCACCACTGAATAGCTCAGTCAGCTACTACAGATGAGTACAGCAGAAGAATTTTTGATTAAGTTCCTTTTGTAATGAAAAAAATGTTTTAAGATCACTGCTTTTCTAAGCTTAACATACGAAGCATAGAACATTCACACTTTATCAGGCAAAATTCTCTGTTTTTCACTATTACAAAGAATCCCCATAATACTCTACTAGGATTCACCATAACCAATCTCACAGTTTAGCCAAAAGCAAAGATTTACCTGTTTATTTCTTCCAGGCAATGAAGACACAAGCTGAAAAACTGCAACTCGACCCGAGGCTGTACCAACAGCAACTAGATCATCAAAACAGCTCAGCAGCTTCACAAAAGTTATAGATTCACACTTCCCCTGTTGGAAGAAACCATACATAAAACTTGCAGAGTTACTGAGAGTCAAAGAACCAGTTTTGAATAGCCACTCAATTCTGAGCACCTTAGCACAGATAAAAACTTGATTAGAAGGAACGCAGTTAAAAGTTTGTATTTACCTCAAAATTATATTTCTTCATCTGGTTTAAATGTCTGCAGTAGAGATAAAGCATTCCAATGCTGCTTCCCACTGCAATGTAGTCGCCATTGGTATCAAGTGCCGTGAGGTACACCACAATAGAGCGAAAGCCTTTTTGGATCTTTGTTGGAATGGCATTGAGTAGATAATATAAGGGACAAAACTCCTTAAATAGAACTGGTGAAGCCACAGATGCCATAGCAAGCACTGGCATCAGTAATTTCAAGGCTGAAATAAACACATATACTTCATGGCATAAGGAAATCTGAAAGACAAAATCAAAAGATAATCCATTAACTTCCTTGGAGATAACAAGTAGTTAACAGAAAGTCACTGCCTAACAAGTAGGCATGCAGAAATTGTCAGATTTTGTTTAGTATAAAAAACCAAAAGCTTAACTCTCCTAGGGGACGTAAGCTGTTCTTAGAACACTCATTCTTTAGAAAAAGCTTATTTTCTTCAGTTCAGTAATCTAAGGATGCATGGTAACTGCTAATTCTGGGATAAGCTTTTTTCCTTGCAGCTTATCAAAGTGGAGAAGATAGAGTAATTTGAACTCAGTTGGCTAGTGAAAGATCTGTATGGGCTGTGCCTGGCACAGAACAATCCACACGAACATTTCTTCATCTGTCTGAAGATTCTCCCCTCAACCTTGCCAGAAGTGAGAGCACAGGATGTTCACTGTTTAAGCAGGCATAGTGAGATCGAAGTGTCAATCTAGTTTTTATGTTCAGTTCCCCATTCTCCTTGCCCCCGGCCTCAAGAAATCATTTGCTACAAGCAAACCCAATCAACAGAGTGGTTTACAGCTCCACAAAAACAAATGCAGCTTTCCAAGAGGAGAATTGTGGATATCTGGAGAGAAGAGAGCTTTCTACAGTTACTTAAGCAAGCAATGTTAAAGACTTTCTTTAGCTTCAGCAGTTGTAACTTCCTTAAAGAAAAAAGAAACAGAAGTACAGCAAAACACAGAAATGCTGAAAATTGTTCTGAAAAATATTCCTCGTGCAGTCTGCGTGGTATGTCCTATTTTGCCTAGTTAGTATTGCTCTAAGGATGAACATGGTATTTGTTTCACAGCTTCACGCGTTGCTTACAGCGTATCTCAACTAAATTAGAAATAACATTGCTGCACTCGTTTAATATCTCCACTACTGTGAAAAGCTCTGATGTCTCAATTTCCAAGCTCTGTCACTTACTGTGCTAGAGGATTCGCCGTGCTGGCTTCGTGCCCTGCAACACTTGCTGTCAACACGCAACTCCACCAAATCCAAGGGATTACTTCTGATGCACTGCCCATTCAAGCCCATGTTAGACAAGACAGCAGAAATTGAGAGTTGTTCCTGAACTCCTATGTTCTCAGTTACAAAAAAATAAACCAGCCACTGAAAAAGCTAACAGCAATTATCAGATGTTCCTAACTGTGGTAAATCTTACTGCTTGATGGAAAATAATTCCACTCTGGCACTGTTCACAACAGTCGTGACACCTATTTCATAACATATCACAGGGATTAGCAGATGAATGTGTCCAAACTGCTTCTCAGGCAAGAGTTCTTTATGGAGTTGTTGACTAAGTCACAAACAACCTAATCACCACTTTTATATAATATTTACGCACATCTCTTCCCTATCTGTATTTTAGAACTCCTTTCCCCTAACATTTTCTACCTTCTATCCATACAGACAACTAAACATCAACAAAATCTACTGCTGAAGTCTCCTGCTTGCACCCCTAGCCATGCTGCTTTGCTGGTTATGCAATTTTAATGCCTCCTAGTTGACTTTCTGTTTGTTTTTTTTTTTAACTGAAACCCAGACTCTGCCCTGAGTCCCACACAAAGCTTCCTCTAACGTAAACTTCTGCCATAAACTCCCCAATTACTGCTTCATGAACTTCACGTTTATTTCTTTAATTCCTCTTTGTCACCTCTTCAGCTGACATCAGCCTCTCACCACGCTAAGATGCTCCCGCACCTGGAACCACTGCACATTTCCCAGCTGCCAAAGGACCTCACAGTCCTTAAAATTCTCTCTCTCTCTCGTTTTCCATCCATTACTCTTACAGCTCAAATGCAGTTGTTGAAAAAATAACCTATTACAAACTACAGAAACTTCTATAACTCAGAAAAAAGTGTGCTCTCCTTCCTCCTACAATAACCCTACCTCTGTTTTTTTCTTTGTTTTTAATATAAATAGAAAATATATGTATATATATATATATATATATATATATATATATGGAACATATATATATATATATATGGGAAAGTATTTGATAATAATACGTTCTCCCCATCCCAAAGCACTGTACGGAATTATTTTTTGTTATATACTGAATTAAACTTGAAAAATGCAGTCTGGTTAGGGGTCTCATTTCTCCTAAAATTACTGTACAACATTATCACTCTTTCCTCTAATGAAGAAGTTGTAAACACTAATGTTTATTTTTCTTTTCTATAATTTATTCATCCTATACAATTGAAATTGTCTTAATAAACTGTAATTTCTTGTCAACAAAGAAATTAGTTTAATCTTGAGTACTTGCACTGTTTGTGTAAAAATATAACTGGAAGCTCCAATCATCACTTTACTAAAAATACCGCTAATTAAGCCAAACAAATGTATAAGGGAGCAGGGAATTACAGCACAACCCTACACACTCAGACGCTTTCTGTAAACGCAATCATTCTCCTCTACAGTCTTCAATCTCCAATTACACCTACACATCATATATGGTTTCCTATTTACTATCAAGATTCTATTTTATCTTTGTTAACCAAAAGCAAGCAGAGGGCTGTCTCTGCAGACAGCTGTTGGCTCAGCAGCACTGTGTCAGCACTCACCTGGAGCAAGCACTAAGCAGTGGATGCAGAGCACAGGCGACACCTGATGCTGCCCATTGAAAACCAGATCAGAATCCTCCCTTGGCAACTTGCAGACAGCACTTAGGTATTGTGTTAAGTGAACATTTTGAAAAGCAGAGCTGTTGCTGCCTTTCCTTGCAGAGGGCTCAGCGTTGCCTCACAGGGACGGCCAGTGTGGGGGATAATCCTGCGCTCAGACAGACGCTCAGCTGGCTGTGTGTCACAGACTCAGCACGAGAGGCCAAAGCTGTCGCTGCTTTTCTCCGAACCAGGCATCCTCTGTATACAGCTCTGCTGTTCAGCTCTTCGACAGAAATAAATCCCGTACATTCACGCCCTTTGGAGAGGGACAAATTCTGACCTCGGACACGTGCTGCCAGCCACAAACGCTTTTTGTTTCAGAACTCACGTTTTCAGGTAGCTATCACCGAATTACGCACACACGGCTCTGAGCTACCCACGAAACGCTGCATTTCTGGCGTTTCTTCAGAAGGCGGGGGGGGGTGGGGAACACAAACAAGAAACAACGCTGGGTGACAGGGGCTGCGAAAAGGCCGATCCGCGCTGCTGCCCGCACACACCGGAGCACAGCACGCTCTCGGGGCGAACTTTCTCCTCCGACCCTCGCCGCGCCGCGCCCCGAGCTCCCCTCAGCCCTGCAAAGCTGCGGAGGAAGCGCCCGCCGCGGCCCGGATCCCCTCAGTCGCCCCGCGCACAACGCCCGCCCGGCGCCGCCGCCCGCGCCCACCGCAGCCTTCCTGCTTGGAAGCGGGCTTCCGTCAGGCGCTCGCCCGCGTCCCTCTCCACGAGTAGGGGAAGGAGACGGGGAAGCTCCGCCGGCCGCACCAGAGCCGTTGGCCGCTCCACCGCGGCGGCAAACAGCCGAGACAGAGGCCGCACGGAGACGCGGCGGCGCTCACCTGCTCAGGAGCCGGGAGCGGTCACAGCTGCCGGCGGGGCGTGAGGAGAGACGGACCGGAAGGAGGGGATGCTGCTCCGCTCGGGCCCCGAGGCACCGGCGGCGGCCCCCCAGCCTGAGCCGCTCGGCGGGGCCGGGCCTGGGCGGGGCCGGACGTGAGCGCACTTCCGCGGGCGCCGCTATGGCGGGTGAGTGAGGGAAGGAGGGAGCGGGCCGGTCTTGTAGCCCGCCGCTGGGCGCCGCCTGCCTGGATTTAGAGCGGGATGGCAGAGCAGGGGGGCAGCGGGGGGCTGCGGGGAGGCGCGCTGAGACGCTCTGAGACGCTCTGAGACGCTCTGTGGGCAGAGATAGGAGTCATGTTGTCCGTGCTAAAGTATCGCATCTCGGAATACGCTTTTAATTCGTGTAAGTAGTAACAAAACTGATAGGTGAGGAATGTAACTAATGTGGTTAACGTAAATTGCGTTTTCACTGAATCACAAAATCGTTTGAGTTGGAAGGGACCCTTAAAGGCCATCCAGTCCAACCCCCTGCACTGAACAGGGACACCCACAGCTCCACCAGGTGCTCAGAGCCCCTCCAGCCTGACCTTGAATGTCCGCAGGGATGGGGCACCCTTACTATAAAAAACCTTTCCCTCGTCTCAGCCACACTGATTTATTTCCATATGTTTTCAGTGAACTTCCCATTTTTTTCTTACATAGCAAAAAGCCCTGCTGATGGGACTCCAAGAAGACCTGTTCTATCTGTCAGTGCAAGAAAAATTAAAGATAATGCAGCAGACTGGCATAACTTGATGATGAAATGGGAGAGACTGAATGACAATGGATTTTCTACTGCCAACAAAATAGTCAACATGAAGATCAGTGAGCAGTAAGTATGCTGGTAACATATACAAGTAAAGACAGCATGAGGATTGCCTTACTGAGAAATTAATCTGTTTTCTTCACTACAAAATTTTTTGGAGACTGGTGATAGAACAAGTCTGAGAGGATGAGTGAATTCTTAACTCAGAGGCTGCATTTTTTGGTTCCATAAAACATTCAAATAAGATGTAAATGTCTCATAAATGCTAAAATAATCTCTTAAGGTAGGGGCATTTGCAAGAAACAAAAAATGTTTATTACACATACCCAAGCATAATGGCTATTTAAAATACTTATGGAATGTACAAAATTAGAACCAAGTCCTACAAATCTGTGCCTACGCAGAGATTTGTGACAGAGATGCAAGTGTTTCTTTACTCTTGTATATATTGACACTGACGCCAATATTACCAAATTTTACTTTAGTCAAGAGTTCAGCAGATTTTAAGAAAAATAAATCTGTGTTTTCATATGGTCAGAAGAAGTTATAACAGTGATGGTTTGGGGAAAAACAAAACAAAACAGTAAAATGATTTTGGTAGAATTTTGTCATCGTGCTGTGAAGAAAAACCTTCCAACAATCAGGGTTTTGAGAAGTAGCTTCTGAAGTCTGACAGGTGAACAGGGTTTGTTTGATAGAGTTCTGACAGGCTCAGGAATATTTTGCTGTAAAGGTCTCAGATGTTGCTTTTTCTCTCTAGCACCTCGCTCTGCTCTGTCAATGTTTACAGGAAAGTAAAGCAAGAGAAGTGGGAGAGTCAGCAAGACAGGACATGTGCCTGCTCAGTAGCTGCTCTGGTTTGCAGTTAAATCTTATGGCAAACTGTCAGTGAAAGTGACTGTGGGGAGGTACCAGGCTGTTGGCTGGGCCAGTTGAAGCCTGGCATGCATTCTCCCCTGTCAGAGACAAGGTGAAGTAGAAAAAGGTGTTATCTTAACATTTGTGAGTGTTTTGGGGTGTTTTTGAGCACAGACTCTAAAGCAGAGAAACCCCATGTTCTTCTGAAGTTTACCAGCCTTAATTGCTGATATGGTTAGCTATGTTCCTTTCTGGTTTTATATAGAAATTCTCATGAACAACCTCTGAGAGATTCTGCGGGACCAGATCACATGGACTATAAGTCTGCACAGCTTGAGTAAACCTTGACTTACGTTTCTGCTTCAGATTTCAAGATAACAAACTGGAGGTAACCTGTGACAGCAGTACCGCAGAATCTGAAAAGCCGTCTCCAAAATACAATGAAGAACTGGACAATTGCTGCACAGAGTTACTGGAGACCTTAAAAAAAATGGTAATATTCATTTTTCAGTCTTAGTAGTATCAACAGTTTTCAAGTACAACATAAGCACATGATGTTAAGTATCTGTTGTAAGCATAAAATCGGGGATTTTTATTCATGCTTCATTGCCTTCAAACCTTAATATAAATCTAGCATGCTCCATTTGTTTGATTGCTTGATGGATTGGAAAGTTGTTTTCATATCTACCTTCTGCTTAAAATTAACTCCCCACTTATAATGTTATTTATAATGTGATCCTCTGAAAACAAGTCATATAATAACCCATTCTAAAAATGCACTTGATGTCTGTTTTCTTATCCCAAATATCCCCTCTGTTTAGAACAAAGTAAACACCAACTTAAAGCACAGAGTAGTGCTTTATCTGCCGTGATATCCATTGCAGCTATCTTTGCTCAGACATTATGCAGTTACACTTTCAGTCTGCCTACCAGTACTTTCTGTGCAGAGCTCATTCTTTCTATAAGGAGTAGAGAAAGATCACTATTATTCTGCCCACCTTCTTTCTGGATACATTGCCAGGAATTAATGTCACATTCCAGTTTCACACTTCAGACAGGAAGTTTTTGCTCAGTACTGAGATGTAAAATTTTTGATGAAAAACGTGACTTTTACAGCCTTTAGCCATTTTGGAGGATCATTAAAAAGATAACAGATAGGCTTTTTGTACAAACAGGCTACCAGACCAGTATTTAGAATAAGCAGGAGCACTCAGATTTTCTTCAGATTGCATTCTGTGGGAAGAAGCAAAGTAATCTGGGTGTTTTCCTTTTTATGCAAAATCAGAATCAGTAATTATCTGCAGCATCTGAAATTTTAGGGTATTTCATTAATTCTCTATGTAAGTTCCAGCTTTGATTCCTAATTGGAATTAAAAAAAAAGTGAGTTAGAAATGCTGAGACTAAATAGAGTCTTCAGAAAGTGTTTAAAAAATGCTGAAGACTATAGTGACTTAATGTTCCTGAGATACTCATTAGTTTTATGTATTCATTGTTTTCAGACAAAAATACATCTGAAAATGGAAAGGCTCTCTTCGACTACCAAAGGAATCTGTGATTTGGAGAAGTTCCACCATGGAGCTGGCAGTTGCACAGCACCCCTGTTTCACACATGGCCCACAGCGTACTTCTGTAAGTAAATTATTGATCATTTTAGATAAACGCACTCTGTCGTTGAAGTCATCCAACATAGGACTGGAAAATACACCCTTTTATATCTGTTTATCCTCCCTTGGAGAGAGAAAGTATGTGAATCAGTCTTCTTTATAATTGACTAATCGATAAACACACAAGTGCATTCCTTGGTTTAGGATTACTGCTGATGACTGCTTGTATGAATTGCCAAGCATTGTCTGACATGCAACAATTATAGCTTACAACTGAGCTTGTCAGCAGCTTCCCGTGCCCAAGCTGCAACAGCCACATCTTTTGTAGAGAGAGACAATTTTGCAGTTTGGTAATGTTAAGCTGTTGGCTACAGACAGACCTGTTACTTGACACCGAAATAAAATCCTCGAATGCAAAGAATGAGATACTCCTCAGTTAATTCTCAGGCAAACAAAGAAAAGTAGCTCTTATCACAGTATCAGTCCAGATAAGTAAAGAATGTTGTTTCTGTCTTCTGTTACTATCAATCTTCTTTGGATTCACTTGGTTGCAAAAGGTAGTTTCCTAACTGCTATTCTAGTGTAGAGAAGCCTAACTGCATGCAAACCAGCTGGCTTCTCTGTGCAGTGAAAGTCATGCCTTGTGAAAGTCCTGCTTCTTATTTCACTACCACAAGCCAGTGGGAATCTTACATACTAGTTCGTCAACATCAAAGGTTAAGAATGATGATGACAACCAAGCACTGTCAAAACAGTCATTGTGACTGAATCATTTAGTGATGGTCTTCTCTTTGGGAAGAATAAATCCTCTTAAAGTAGCAATAGTTCAGATTAAGTTAGAAACAAAAATCAGTCTCTTTACAATGAATTTATGTGGCGACTTTTTTTTTAGAAAATCAATCAAATAGATGATTATATAAATGTATTTTAAAGCCACTATATATATTACCAGTGTAACTAGTAACAATATTAGCTTTTACATTATGCACTTCGGGTTTGGTCAGTTGTCCTGTTTCCTCGTTATTCTTCACTATTGGTGTTTCTTATTGGCAATCATGCATTGCTGAAGGGCTTGACAGCCTGCGAGGACATTCTCTGGATTAGATAAAATCAGTGATGACTGGAAGTTCCTACATTAAGATAGCATTGCAAAATCTTAAATAGCATTTCAGTTATTTAAAAGAATGGCTATAACAACTGCCCTGAAAACCAATACCACTGCTTGTTCTAGAATTAAAAGGGGATGCATATCAAAATCACTAGTGTTTTAAAAGTAGGTCCAGAAACTGACTAAACTATTCAGCATTTTATGCTCCAGTATACAACGTTATTGACTGTGTAAGAAAGAAGATGTTTAAATGTGGGGAACAGCTTTTGTTCTTTTAGTGATCGATAGTACGGGTGTAATTCAGCACTAAGCAAACTGCTGATCTCTTACCATCAGTGGGCTTGGTTTTTTCAATCCATTTCAGATGAGGTTTCTCTGAAGCTTTCTGAAATGTACAAGAAGGAACTACAACTCAAGCAAACAATCGTACAAGAAATTGCTCATTCTGCTAACCAGGATCTGATGATGGTCTATTTATCATCATGGTTATACCAGCCTTACCTTGACAACAGCAGCAAACTACTGCTTGAAGCCATGCTTCTGGAAACAGGGCACAGACAGTGCTAGAATTTCAAATGTTGCTCGACTTGCTTCTAATGATGCTTACATGAAACTGAAATGACAAATGGACGAGGCTCACCAAGTAAATTAAGTTTTTGTAAAACTTATTAAAAATATTTTTTGTATTTATTACTTTGTCTCAGCTGATACTCTTTTCTTCACGGACAATCTGGTTTTGGTTGCTTTAATCCTTTTTAAGCATATGACAGAGGCTATGGGTAGGAGGTTGTTTAGATGCTTCATGGTACAAGTGCTCCATAATGAGAGATGAGCACTTCTGTAGTGGTCTCAGGGAGGAGATTCAATGCACATAGATACCTGGAACAATTAACTACTTTCCAAGTCTTGATGTTCTAAAATATCTACATTGTTGCTCTTACCATAGAAATTCACTGCTGCTTGATGTGTTTGGTGGTGCTTTTTTTTGTTGTTGTTGTTGTTGTTAACATGGCCAGTGTTCTTTTTCTAACAAGCACTGGCAGCTCAAATTTTTGCTTTCCTTTTTTTGTGCTGCTTTCTGCCTTTCTTGGAAAAAGAGAGTAGAGAGTATGTTTGGGAAGAACAGTTACCACAAAAGCTAAATGCTAAAAGGAATTCAATACCCTTATTTGCTTTCATTCCTAAAGACATAATAATCCCTTTGCATACCACTGCATCAGACCTGGATGGCACAGAAAAGCTGTGACACTCACCAAGCCTTTAATAACTGTTGGCTGTTCTTTCAAATTAGCACTTTTCAGCAAAGTGTATTACAACTTGGAAACTCTGCAGCTGTTCTATCATTAGGGTTGATGGATTCTAATTCAACCCCTGATATTTTGTGAATTTAGGCCTTCTTTCTTACTTAAGATTAATAATCCAAATTCCTCCCTCTTACTGATTGCACGTATGACCTGCTCCTTATATGAAATGTTGCTTTAGGTCTTCCGTTTCACACCGTTAAATAGCATTCCTAGGTGCTGTTGAATCATTGCTGTGCTCTGAAAGATGTTTGCCCTTGATTTCTCCCTGAAACCAACTATTTGAACTAAAAATAATGTGAAGTGCATGCTGCTAAGAAATGGCTATAGCAGCTGTGGTTTGATACGACAAAAACCTCATTAACAGAGAGCGATTCTGGCACAGATTTGTGATAGGAAAAACAGGGTGATTTGCTTAGCTAGTTCCAAGCTGAAACCTCATAGGCTTGGTAAGGGAAATGCAAATGTTGCCTGCAGCAACCAAATGGACATACATGAATTAGAAGAGTGTTCTTCTGTGTTCAACAGAAGTTGTTTCTGACAGCTTCATAGTGTCCTATTCTTAGCCCAACTTTCTAGTGTCTAAAAAGAAATTCTACTGTACCTCAAGAATGCAATCAATCAGGGAGAGCTTTGCTAGTTTTTACTGTTTTTCTTTGCAAGTGTCCTATGCAGCAGCTGAACAGCCACCTTAATTTATCTGAGTAGGGCCAGACCCTTGTCACTATGGAAACACTTTCATAGTTGGAAAATATTTTGCAAAGAAACAAAGTGGGTTCATTTACAGAATTGCTCTTTTAAGATGTGCGTAGGTACGTTGTATTTCCTACCATGAGCAGATCAATAGGGTATGGAAACAAGTTCTCATTTTCTGCACAGGTGGAAATTGTAGTTTGTTCTTATTTCTGAGAAGAACTAAGCTCTTCAGGAAGGAGACTTAATATTTGTGAATCCCTTTGCTCTTTAGTTGCTATAGGACAGAAGACTGCTGCAAAATCATCACTGCAGAGAAGCTTTTATATAAAGTTCATTGTTACATTTGAGCCCTCAGATGTAGTTATTAGACAGACAGTATGGAAGATTAGTAAGAAGGAATTGCTTACTGCTATCAGTGTCTTGGAAAGGCTGACAGAACTGCACTTTGCATGGTATCTTCATTACCTCCTTTGTAAGGCAACGACCATTATTACCTCCTGAAAAAGAAAACAATAAATCAAACAAAAATAGCATCACAAAAATGAAACCAAAAAACCCTCCATAAACTTAAGAACCAGACAGGATCTTACAAGCACTAATGACATCTTCCACAACCCTACAAGTGCAGTGTTCTGCCCAATCATAATTTGACCTTCTGTTCAAGCAAATAAATAAATGCAATATTATAGGGCAGACAGTTTAATCTCTAAATTGTCTCACTCTCATTTGGATTCCACGTTAGTATGTTTTTCCTTAATTGCTATGAATATTTGATTTAAGAACAGTTCTGCACATAATAGGTGCTTTTAGCTGATTTGTCCAATTATCCAAAGTAGTTTCAATAAGGCAACAAATATAGTGTATCTTATCAGTTTTCATTAACATCTGCAAGAGTTTACAAATAAAATTCAGATAATGGTCATTTAGGGTTAATCCTTTTTACCAGATAAGCTTTTTAAAAGAAAAGTCAGTGGCTTGGACAACAAGCTCCAAGAAAGCATCCACCAAAATATCATCCAAGCATTAACTGCCACTTCACTACCACACAAGATAGCAGAAGGTAATAAATAACATGAGAACTTTTAATCTCTGCGTAGAGAAACAGGAATTACAGTCAAGGCTAAATTTTTATTATGATTAAACAGTACAGAGCAGTGTAGAATAACTGCGAAGGCCAAAACTTAGAATTTATGAGATGGAGGAAAAAAAGTTATAAATCTAGGAAAAAGATAATACAAATCTAAGAATTAAAAGAGACCACCAGGCCCTAAAAGTTAAAAAGGATTTGTTATCCTGTTAAAGAAGTTCAGTAGTTTTGAACCTTCCCATTTCTGTCCAAGTAGCAGTAAGTGTTGAATGCACAGCTGACCATTAGGAAACATTAGTGAGAATACTTGAATACATTGCCAGTAGTTCAGTACAAATCAATTCTTGTGTGAGGCTATTTTTGTCTCTAACTCAGTGCACACACAGCCTAATGCTATTTAAATAAAGATCAGTTGGGCTGTCACATTGTTCCTGGAGTGCACAAGCATGGATTGTATTTGAAACCCCCATTTTTCCAGGCGGAGCTGTGCATGCCAAATCTAGATGCTGATGTATTCAACCTAGCTTTAAGAAAGGGCAAAACAGCAGTCTTCTTGTAATCTCAACAGCACAGAAAATGCATACTTTCAGATAGCTTTTATTTTACCCATACACAGTTTGCCAGTACACAGCACATCACTGCCAAAAAGCAGTACAACTTACTGCATTTTTAGATGTCTAGAGAGAAAAGGAATTGCCTAACAAACGGGAATAGTGCAACAGCTTTAGGATTGCCAGATTTCCACTTTCTACCCACCCCCCCAACATATAAAGCAAGGAGAACAATGTTAATTTCAGAATTTTTGGTTGCAATTGTTTTAGATTTTTATAAACATAAGTTATAAAAAGTATAGGGCATAGAAACAGTTTACAAATAAGTTAAATTTCAGTTATCTCACTATTCACATTAGAAAAATATACATTTTATATAGTCGGTCTTTCCCAGAAGAAAGACTGTGTAGTATTCTGATTTATGGCTCCAATTCACTCTGTGAGAGCAGAACATCTTCGCTTTGGCCATCTGCTTCCATTGCCAGTAGTGCTTCCACAGTTTCCAAAGGTATCCCGTCAGGTGTGCGGATGTGCATTGTAGTACCATCAGAATCAGTTACAATAACAATACCTTCTGCCTGAGACAAAACAGCAGCATTGGGATGAGACAAAATAAGCCCATCAGAAGTCTGAATAAAAATCTGTTCATGTCCCTGAGTCAAGAAGTCATGGCTCTCATCAGTAATCTCAAAAGCTACAGTTTGATCTACAGTAACTGCATTCTCCAGCTCGTGTTGTTCCTCTGTCCCACAAGAAAATTCACTCATGTTATTATAAGCGCAGTCATGGTTCACACCAGCAGACAGGGTGGTTTCCTGAACAGGATTCTGGTGCAACTCAGCCTGAGCACCGTGTGGATAATTTATTGGCACATGTGTTGAAAAAGCTTTTTCCATTTCCTGCATCTCAGCCATACCAGCGTCATGAAGTTGTTCAGATTGTCCTTTCACAGCAAAATTCTGGTTTTCTTCTTGCGGTGTCTGACATTTTTGACTGAGACCATTTTCCTCACTCACTGCCAAGTCAGTGTTCCGAATGCCCACTGCATGCTCTGAGACAGAGTTGCAGGGTTCAGCAGCTGACGGTCCTCCCGCTGTGTTTTGACTCACCAAATGTACTTCAGCTAATTCTGGTGCACCTCCCGCTTCTACAGGCAATACAATTTCAGTATGTAGCAAAGATGTGTCAGCCGAAATACCTGGTCCCTGCCCATCTACAGGTTGGGAATACTCGATCCTCGTTTCCACAGTCTGAGAGAAGGTACCTGAATTTTCAGCATTGATTCTAACTTCTGAATCAACAAGTAAATTATGTTCCTCCTCTGCAGGTAATATGCTTCCAGTTGTGCAGCAAGTGACATGTCTGTCTTCTGAAAGCAGGATTTCTCCATTTAATGGATTAAGACCTGAAAAGTTGGAAGAAATATAGTTTTGTTGGGTAGTCTAACACTACTTGTCCAGAATATTATTTTTTCAGTGATAATTTTGGAGGAAATGCTAGACTGCTTTCCTCTCTCAAATTATCAACCTGAAGCATTTTCTATACAGTTTCAGAGCACTTTGGGGTGAGGGGGCCAGCATTACAATACTCAAGGTATTTTTTGGATAGTGAAATATTATTGTGTATTTCAATACGAAAGAGCCTTAAATAGAAGTAGCATTTTTTCCTGTTAATCTTGAAGACAGCCTGGGGTGAAAGTCAGATTTATCTTTTTTCCCCATCTGGCATACAGCCAGTAACATTAAGCAATAAAGAACATGGCGCAAGGTTGTCAGCTGCTCATCCTCATAAGCATTAATAAACTGACTGAAGCTTTTAAACTTTGATTAAAATTCTGTTGACAAGTCAAGCTTTTGAAGATTCAGAGAAGTCAAATTAGTGTGTAGCTAATGAGTTGTGTTAGCAGATTCAGGACCACACTCAGCCTGAGACAGAAAGGGAAAAACAACAGGAATTTAGTTTGTTTTGCCACTTGTATGACTTGGACGAAGGGCTCTCAAGCACAGCAGGGAGCTGAACAATAACGGCTAAGTAGCAGGAGATTGAGCTGCCTGTTTTTATAACTGAAGATCAAAAGGAACAAAGGTAATTTTTGTTATGGAAGATATCATGGCACAAAAAAGGAAACCTAACAACTCTAAAAGGATTATTTTAACTTTTTGTACTGCAAACTAACAGAAGCCTACCAGCCTGTGCAAGTGAAACAGAATTCTTTCAAAACAAAAACAACCTAACCCACAACCTCATAGCTCAGAAGAAAACTGTATGATAAGGAGAAATAAGCACTGTCATGCAGAGAGCCTTTCAGAGAAACAAAATTAAACTGAGGGGGTGAAGTGGAATGGGGGAGCGGGTAACAACACAAAAACAAACGAGAAAGCAACCACTAACAAAGACACGCAAAGAGCAAAAGAAAAGCAGCTCATAGCAACATCAAAAAGATAGGTACAAAGCAAAGAGATGGAGGTGGTACACAGTTTACTAGAGATGGGTAAGGGCTGGAATCCTTCAAGACAGTGAACACAATGCCTCTGAATAGTGAAACGCTTTCAGATTAAAGACCAATGGAGTGTGGGGAGATTACAGGTGGCAACAATCTCGCTTTCTTCTCTAACCCACTGTTTGCCTGCCAACCTGAGGAGCCAGAGGAGTAAAGACAAAGAAAGGACATGTGCCCAAAGACCATCACAAAAAATACTGTCTTAGTGCCAGTCATTAGCTCCTGCACCTGCCTTGGGATACAGGATAACCTCCAGTTCTTCCCCTCCCCCAGGTCCACAAAGCTCAGATGATTCCACCCCTGCAGTCCACTCAGGCAGCAGGAAGGACATACACACTGCTCCTCTTCTACTGCTCTCCCACTGCTAACACAAAGGTTGTGCACTGTCACCACTCTAAGGGACACTGCAGACAGGAAGCGGGCAGGAAGCACATGGCAGAAGAAAGTACTATTCTCCCAGTGCTGCAGTAATATCCATGTACACATTACTGTGCATTTAGAATTGAGCTACTGCTGTGCTGTGCATCATTCTTAACTTCCCCTCTTGTCAGTGAGGACTTCCCAGTAAAAAAGCTGCTTTTGAAGAACCTGGGAAGCAAGCTGAGAAATGAAACCTTAGGACAAAAACCACAGTAGTTTGAAGAACAAAGATTCGTTCAGCTCCTCCGTGAACACAACAGAATTGGAAAACATGAAGAGGTTACCATCTTTTTCAAAGAGTGCACATAAATTTCCACTCTTTTCTTTCACTTCATCTTGACTGGAATAAGCATTATTCACATTCTCCATTACGTCTTCTAACTTGGTCCTTTTGGCTGATGGCAACAGTTCCTCCCCTGAGCTCTGTCAATACAAGAGATAATTAACTGGCTGCCACCATAACAGCTCACAACATTGGAAAAGAAAACAAGCTAACTAGGCACTTCACAGCAGTACTATCCTTGAAAACAAGATTTTGCATTGAAGTAAGAACTTCCTGAGCAGAAAGAATTTAAACACAGTTCTCATACTTTGCCAAACTACTACTGATAGATTTTGATATTTGGTAGAAACAAACCAGCCTAGTGTTAATATCACAGCTTCTCTCTAGGCTTTGGGGTTAGCTGTATTGCATGACACCTGCCATAAACTCTCTCTGACTTCAGTAAACAGCTGTGAACAACTTGTCCAGCATTGTTGGCTTAATGAAGAACAGATCAGCTCTAATCTAACCACAAGCAGAAAATGGAAGAGTACTAATCTTGTTTGTCTGCCACCAGAAACAACTCCAGATTACATAGAACAGTTGAGGGAAAGGACCACAAGGATATGACTTTCAAGAAAATGAAATAGAGCACAGCCTGCTCCAGCTTTCAAGAAACCAAATCTGGTAAACTGACTTGTTAGAAAGAAAGCAACTGTTTTCACGCACCTCTACCAACCAATTATTAGTGCAAAAGCTTCCCCAGTGCCCGAACCTGCTATAGGTAAGATCTTATTGGTAAGAGAAGTTATAGAATCTGAGGATCCTTCTTACCATGGGGCCCATTTACTGCCACATCAACAGGATTCTTCTCTGTATTGTGGTATTACATGTTAACCTTTGAGATTCTGTCTCCAGTATTACAGAGCATTAATGCAAAGTACATCTTTAATCTGCTAGTTCACATGCTCTGCTGTGACACCACAGTAGAATATTCACTTGAGTATTTACAAACCCTCGCTTTAATACAGGTCAGATAATACTAGTGTGATTTCTAAAAATGTATCTATTTCAACAAGCTTCAATTTGTTGTGGTTCCATTTTTAGTTTTCACAAAAGCATTCCATACCTCAGCTAACCGTTTTTGTCCCAGTGTCTCCACAGGCACTTGCTCACTAACCATTTTAATTATACACTGTGAACAAGAGTCTACACCGTGCATCTTTTGTTCGCCAGAGGTTATTTCTGTAATTCCTAGAGATTCGGCAACCTGTACAAACAGTTACAGGAAAAAATAAGTGACAGTTAGTCTCTCCAATCTCAATATATTTCTTCAAACTGAACTACAAGTACAGAATTTCAGTCTGACAGCTCAATTAAGTATTTAACCTGCTATGTTTTCTACTAACTTCCGGATTAATAGAATATTTTAAAGTGAATATTAACAGGTGAACTCAAAGACACTGGTTATATATAGAATCCAGGAATGGTTACTAAGAGCAGAGCTTCATACAGAACTCTGTGTAGGCTCTTCATTACTTAAAAAAAACAACAACATTTATGTCTTCCTATTTTAAAAGATCTGTTAGAAGCTTGTATGTATTTTCCACATTCTCTTTTCATCTTTATGTAGGTATGCTATGATACGACCTCTCTGGGCTGTTATCTTCTAAAGAGCAAATTCTATATTAAAAAGGCATGTTGAAACTGAAGAAAACAAGAAACAGGTTCCATTTTGGGACTGACAGCACCAACAGCATCCTTTTACTCGGTGCACCTTCACTACTGCAAACAGAAACATCAGTGGTAATCAGCTACAAAACAGCCAGATGAGCAGGCAGTACATCTAGGAAGTTTTTCAGTACATAGAGTGAACATGGTGACTAATTAAAAAAAGAAGAAATACTAACTGCTACTAACAGCCCACACAGGATTTCACTTCTTAACTGGGATTATTATAAGAGCCAGCATTCTCTCTCTGCCTCTTCTACTCTGGGTTTTCTGTATGTTCGCTCATTGTGGTTGCAAGTTCAGTGCACAGGTACCCTAACAAACACATCATTAGAAATCGTGTTGGAAGCAATATGGAAAGTAGTGTTTTTGCTACTGGAAACAGAGAAGGGAAAACAAAAATACATTAAGTACAAAGATCTATTTTATTCCAATCAGAAGGAACACAGACTAAGTAAAGGATAAACAGATCCATATAACACACAAAAAAAGTCTTTCTAGACACAACTGCATATACAATGAATCTGCAGTTGTTGAAATAGCAGTTTGTAATTTTATTAATTTATTCTCTAACTTTTGTATTTGCCAGTATGACTGAACTGCACACAAGCATTCAGTTTGTGCTCATTTTGCAATGAAACCACGGATCCTTTTAAATCAAGGTCGCCCATTTTAAATACAGCCCCTTCCCTCCTAACTAAATGTCACAATATACTTCTAATGTTGAACACACCCTGCAGTGATGTGCAGCTTCATGGCACTCTAAATATACACAGGTATCAGAAATCAGCACTGCTAGAATTGACGTTATCGTCTTATATATATTTCTAGTTATATATGTTGTCACATATTAGAACTGTAGTTTTATTATGGATTTCTTTTTCTCTTTGCTTGGTTATTGTACTTTTTAAACACTACCACTTTTGCTCATCAGAAAACATGCTTTGTTCAAGTTTACCAGGATAAAAAAAATTTATCAGAGAAAATATAAAAAAATAATCTAAAAATAGACAAAAAAAAAATCCCAGTTCCAAGGAGAACATTTTGTTACCTTAGCATCTTTTATTTCAATTGGCTGCTGGCAGCTCAGAAAATCAGAATTACTGAGGTAATCATAAGCCATTTTCTTTACCATATTATGTAACTCTTCAAATTCTCTATACACATTAGGGAAGTAAGCTTTGGCTGGACAACCTTTTTCAACCTGGAAGAGAAGAAATGTGTTGTTTCCCCCTATATATTTCAAATAGCATGAAAGAAAAATCTTTTGTTTTGTTCAGTGTTTAAAAATACTATCAGTCAAATCAAGACTATGGAATTTTCAGAAACACCACTGAACCAAGCAGCAGAGTTAGACTTTCAATAAGACCCATCAACATTTTGCCTGTGTAAAACTGAAGTGATATCTAGAACATCTACGTTCTGCACAGTTCTAACTTAGAAAAACCAGATGCATTACTCATGGAATCTTTTTCTGTATATCAATGAAAGCCTCCCTAAAATAATTAATATTTTTACATTAAAAAGATAAAATAATAATCTCACCTTCATCAACAGGAATTCATACACTGTAACAAGCTCTGTAAGACGTGGGAGAACCAGCTCCATCAAATCTTCATTATCACATTGTTGTATTAGCTGTCAAAAGCCATAATGAGTTTATTGAAGCAAAGTAGCCCACAAAGGTAATGCAGCCCACATTCAGAAATAAAATAGTGCTGCTTTTCTGTAGGATACACGAAGTTACCTTCGTCTACAGCGATTTCTTTCTCTGTTTCAAATAGACAACAGACAGACTCTCAGTCCCATAAAGCAGTCGCTATTAAAAAATGCAGCCTAGAAGTAGGTTTGCCTTTTGGAAAAAGGCTGGAGGGGAGGATATACATACTGTATGTTTATGCAGCTTAGAGAATAGATGCAAATGTAACACCAAAAGAGGAGATGAGAAATACCTCGAAACAGTTACTACCCATGTTTACAGATAACACTCAGTCCCATAAACGTTGCAAACTCAGAAAAGGAACAGAGGTGATGCACAGTAGCAGCTAGCAACTTCTTCAGAAGAAATTCTTCAGAAAAAAAGCAAGAGTACATCTACATGTCAAAAAGACTTTCCACAGAGTTCCCATTTTCCCTTTTTTCTCCCCTTAAAAGCCATTATTAATATTTTCTTCTTAGAAAATGCCTTAGGCTTTTATCAGTGAACAGGAATGCCAACTGTCAATCCTTTTGAAAACGAATCTTTGCACTGATTCAAAAACTAAAACCAAAACGACGGGGAAAAAAAGATGCTTATGAAATAATTGCAGAAGAGAACCATACCTCTTTTAACCTAGCTCTTCTTCTGAATACACTGCGCTCTGTGGACACACCACTAAGGGACTTTGAAGGGGACTGACCAGGTCTGCTAAGCCTCCCAGAACACCTGGATCTTCCACCCACCCTCGGTCGACCGCGTCTCTTCGGTCGTCTGGGTCTTCCAGGTCCTTTTGCTGTCATGGGCCCCCGCTGTCCTGAACTGCTTTCATTCTGTTGTTCTGCCAACAGGTTTCTGCTTTCTGCAGACTTACAAGTCTTAAATGAAAGAAAAAATAAAAGCCTTTTTTCATCATTTTAAACAGTGCTTTAAGTACAGCATCATTTTATAATGAAATTCTTAGTCTGGGCAAAAAATAAATAGGATATTAAACAAATGCAAGGCTGAATACAAGCACAGGTCTCATTTGTTTTCCTCTACCTATCTGTGTACCAGCTTTGGTAAGCCTGATATTCTTTCTAGAAAACCTCTTTGCCTGAGCAAGAACACTGTTTAAAGCAATGAGTTACAGTACAAACTTTGAGAAATGGGGTTTTCCAGCTAAAGACTGCAGGTACTACAGCAATCTAGCAGTCAGTAATAGTACTGAGATAGTCTGAAGGAGATTTTCCATCATCTTGCATGAAATGAATGCTGCACAGGGAAACAAATACATAATAATGCAGACAACTGAGTTCAGTATTCTGTGCTTCTCTCTTTTTCCAAAGATGACAGAATAGTGCAGGGAATGAGGGTTGTATTTGCTGCACTGGAACTCTGACCTGCAAATTTTCATATTTCTGACAACTTCTGTTTTACCAATAAAAGTAAAAAATAGGACGCTGCTACATCTAAAAGATTACACAACTACATCAACAACGGCATCAGCTATTGCTACAAACTGTTAGTTGGGAGGTAACTTCACTTGGAAGAGGAGCTTTGAGTTGGCAAGCTTAAAACATCACAGAAAAAATGCCACTGCGGTGGCTTCCAGTTCAGAGAGTCAAGATGAAAGTACTCAGTTCACAGAGGTAAGCTAAGCCTCACTTTCAAGACTTGCTCTAGGAAGAGTTGCAGTCCACTCTGATTCCAAATAAGTTTCACCACAGAAAATCCTCTATTTCAGTAACAGAAATTGATAAGGTAGTTGATGCCTTGCTGTCTGCCATGCAAAAAGCACGATCAGTGTTAGCATTCTTCTCTGAATAGACAAGAAAAGGCTATTAATGCAGACCTGCAGACCGTATGTTGGAAATCCAGTAACAATCACGCAGGGAATGTTTTACGTGCCTCTGCAGGAACACTATTCCTGATGCAATTTCAAAGAAAATGAGCTGTCATCTCTTATGAGCATTTTAATCAGCAGTGTGTCTAAGTTTGCATATTAGTAAATATTACTGAGCAGTACTGACTTGTATGTTTCACTAACAAGACGTACAAGTGAATTCACATGTATTTAAATTTCTACCTTCAGTCTTAAAAAAACACTGTTGTCAGTGGGAACTCAGATGAATGACTGCAGTATGCAGCTATTAAACTGCCCTTCTGATTTCTACAAAACTGACAGCTGTAACACACTTTACCTGTTCAACCTGTGAGCCAGCAGTTTCTTCCAAATTGGTAGGTAGTGCGTTTTGATTATTTAAAGTGACAGCAATGGAATTCAAATGCACTGGACTCATAATTTCCTCTCCTATTCCGCAGAGATTGTCCACAGATATGCTTCCATTAGGTTTATTTAAGGGTGTTTTTTGAGGTACAGACTCCAGCTGTCCATGACCAGGGTTAAGTTTATAATGTCTTGCTAATCCTCCTTTTCCTATATAGGACTTTTCACAAGTCTGACACTTAAACATTTTGGGTTTCAGATTATAATTTGAAGAATTGAACAATGCATCCTTCCCCTTCACCTTTCCCTCTTCATCATCTTCTATAATCAGCTCAGAGTAGTCGTCGGAATCAGACTGATGACTATCAGCCAAATCCTCCATTTTAATGAATTTATAATCTTTAGCCTTGTACTTTGGAGGGCGTGAAATCCGTCCGGAACGAGTTTTCACTTTCAAAGACTTTTTTAGCTTGTCATCTTTCTGTTTTTTTTCAAGGCATGGCATCAGAGTGTTTGTTGAGCTGGCTGCAATATTTGAAGACCTCGCAGGTGATACTGTGGCACGTGCAGTTTTCTGTCCGTTTAGCACCTTACTTGTAGGAATCTTGTTCACAGGCACTGATCCATGAGACGGCAAAGGTTTCTGCATAAGCAACTGAATTGGAGACTCAGAAGAACTATGCAGGAAAAGCTGCTGCTGCTGCTGCTCAGGTCCTGTAACAGGCTGCATCTTAATTATCTGGGGATTAATAATGCCAAGTCCTGGCATGCTAGAATTTCTACCAACAGACTGACTCAGCATTACAGTTTTGGACTGGATTGGTGCCAAGGATGGCACTGGCTTTTCTGTTTCCTTCATCTGTCCTGGCTGAACTTGAACACAAATGGCTTCCAGCTGCTTTTGTGGAAAAAAGGAAGAGCTGAGATTACACAAATACCGCATTTGTTAGATGAACATGGTATTTACCAATATGACACGTATATACCTTTAAAGGAAGGCATAAAGAAATGAGCACACATCATTCAATTTCCATTTCAAAGCATCAAAGCACTGATTTAATGTCAGAGCACAGATTCTCTTCCTTCAAGCTATGGCTTTCCTGCATGTTCAGCAATGTAACTGCTGTCAACTAAAGTATGTAAAGTCTTCTCCCAGGTCACACCGCAGCACTGTTTGCTGCAAGCAGGCTGGTTCTGGGACAGCAGCACTGCTATCACCCAGGCACATCTGTAACCTTTACCAAAACAAATGCAGGAGAACTACAGCTTGTAACATGATGCAGGCCGAACGCCAGACCCAGAATACACAGCAGTAAGTGCTCTGTTCAAGAAAACTTTATGACGACCAGTGCAGCACACTTCATGCTTCCTCTTATCCCTTCCTTCCTATTCTCCCCTCTTCTAAGTTCCTGCCTTAGCTCTGCCCAATCTCCACCAGCTCCTCTCCCCTAAGGGAGCAGGCAACCACCTGCCTTACCCTGGAGTCAAAAACCATTAAAACTGGAGATGTCTTAAGACCATCCAGTCCAACCCCAGCCCGTCCCCGCTGACCACGTTCCTCAGCACCACTTCTCCGCGGTTCCCGGAGAACACCTCCACGGACGGTGATTCCCCCACCTCCCCACGCAGCCCGTGCCGCCGCATCGCCGCGCTAAGACCTCCTTCCCGCCCCAGAGCCAGGCGGTTCCTCGGAGCCCTACCTGCCGCGGGAGAAGGCGGGCTGGCGCCGGTGCCGCGCCGCGCTGCAGAGCCACGCGCTGGGCCACGCTCCGCAGCTGCAGGGCCGCGTTCTGCACGACGGCTGCCGGCGGTGCGGGGGGCGCGGGGACGCAGTCCCGGAGCGGCGGCGACGCTTCCCGCAGCTCCCGGGCCCTGCTCACCCTCTCGATCACCCTCCGCAGCTCCGCGGGGGCCAGAGGCGTGGCGGAGTGGCGGGACGGCGAGGGCGGCTGCTCCTCCGCGCTCGGCCCCGCGCCCTCCGCCCGCGCGTAGAGGACGGTGCCGCCTTCGTGAGCGGCCGAGCTCCGAGCCGGCTTCTCCGGAACCGCCCGCAGCTCTGCCGGGGCCGGGAGGCCGCCGCTTTCCTCCGCCGCCGCCGCCGCGCCCAGGGTCTCCTCCCCGCAGGCGGCTCCGGGGGGCTCGCCCTCAGCCGGGGGAGGAGGACGCGGTGGCGCCTCGGTGCCCCCCTCCTCTGGAGCCGCCATCTTGGCAGGCGTCAGCGGGCGGCAGCCGCATCGACCCCCCCGGGCGGCTCTCGGAGGCGCGGGGCGCAGTCAGGGCATCGGCGGCGCACGGGCCAATGGCGCCCCCGGGGCGGGGCCGAACAGTACCGACGGTGGCCTCGAGGGGGCAAAAAGCTGCGGAGGCGCTTCTGGAACCTGATTGACGTGCGAAGGTAAACGACGACGGCGTGACGTGGAAGGGGGAGAAGAGCGCACGCAGCTTTGAACCGAAACAGTACCGTGGGGGGGGAAACGTAACAAAAACTCTATCACCTTCTGGCCCGTACGGGGATCGAACCCGCGACCTTGGCGTTATTAGCACCACGCTCTAACCAACTGAGCTAACCGGCCCGGCGGTGCAAATCTCCTCTCCCTCAGTCCCCAAAGGAATTTAGCCCCTAAGTGTGTTCAATTCCTTCTAGTGGCTATATTACAGATGAAGACTTCTTTCAAGTCGAAAGCACGGGAGAGAGATGCGCAGAGACCCGGGTGCCATAGATTCACCTCCCTAGGAAGCATGGAAAACACCGAGCGCTCAGTGTATTTTTTGCAGTTTGCAAGCCTGTGCCCCCCGCAGCTCCTTTCAGCAGCAATTGCTTCGTATTTAAGGAGCATCCCTTCAGGGTTTGTCAGAACACTTGCGTTGGAGGATGCGACCAAAGAACGGAGCGCGGGCGCTACGCTCGGTACGACTCGGTGTGAGCCGGGCGCCCTCAGCGATGCCATTCCCACCCACTGCGAGCCAGCGGCGCGCACACCTGTAACGGGCTGCGTTCTACAGCCTGCAGTGGCAGGCGGGAGCCGCTAGGGATCAGGCGGCCATCGAAGATAGATGCCGGGATGCAAAGGCGAGGTAGCGCCCTGCACAAACCAGAGCTACAGGTGCGGCATTCAGCATCAGGGAACGCCTTTCAGCTAGAAGCGAGGGCTGCGCAGACCGCTCACAGACTCCCTCCATCCTGGGAGAACGCCTGAGGAGAAAAATCATCCCACAGAGCGGCACATCGCCACACGGAGCAACCTCGCGCCCGGCCGCCGCCCCGCCTCCTCAGCCCTGCGGCGCACGCGCCGCCGGCGGGGCAGCGCCAGCCGCCTCTCGCACTGCGCCTGCGCGAGGCCGAAGCCCGGGGCGGGCGGACGGAGCCTGCGCGGTTGCCAAGGCGACGGGAATACAACATGGCGCGCTGAGGGAACGGCTCGGCGACCCGCAGGCGAGCGCAGGATGAACAGTAAGAGGCTGCGGGGGAGGGCGGCGGGATCCGCTCGACCCGAGGGCGGGAGGCTCCTCGCGAATCGCAGCGCGGGCTCGGGCGTCTCTGAGGCGGCACCGCCGGCAACCTCTGCTAAGGGGCCGGGGCGGCGGCGGTGCTTTGAGGCCCCGGAGGCCGCAGCCCCGAGGTTTCCTCGTCTTGCTGCTGGATAATGCTGTTCTCCTGCACGCCCAGCCTGCTAACGAACGTTTCTGCAGAGCTGCGACCTGCCCCTTCCCAGTCTCTCCAGTTGCCTTTGCAGAAATCACGAGTTCCCTCTTTCTTACCACGATCTGCAAGCCGTGCCTTCCATTGCTTGGCATCAGTCTTCCTTATGCCATGTCACGCCCCACGCTCTCAGCAGGTCACTGAGTGCCTTAAGTGTCACAGCCTGCTGACCGTGCCCGAGGGCAAGCTTTCCATTGCTGTCTTCATTTCTGCCTTCTCACGTGCCTTAACACTACACCTAAACACCATGGCTTTTTCTTCCTCAGCTTCATTTCAACAGAATATGTGCCTTAGGTGTTATACTACCCTACTGACTGCTGTAGTGCTGTCTTTTCTGTCACTTCACAATGGATTCTTCAGTTCCAAGTTGAAGGTGATTTTCTGTGCTCTCTAGATACAGAGACATGGGCCCAGACTTTGCATTCTATTACACAACTTTCATTGCTCTTACTTTCTGGCTCCTGTAGCTTTTTGTACACCAGAATGCCTTTCTAGTGAAGGATTGCTTCTCTGCCATTCTCATGGTACAGCTCTGGTGTTAGACTAGTTCAAGTTGCCATAACTTATTCTTGTAAATAACTTGTGTATCCTAGTCCTTATTTTGTTGACTTGCATGGAATTTTATTCCATTTTCCTAATCCTTGTCTGCCTTCTCTAATCATTTGAAGCCTCTCAGACTCTACACATGCTGAAATAGCCAGGAAAGAAAAGTTAGTGAGCGTCTGCATTGCTACAGATGCCACTTAAAAACAAAACAAAAAAAAAAAAAAAAAAGGAATTTGGGATTAGGTCTTCTGCCTTTCTTGATGTTACATCAGCAAGAGAAACACTGTTTACTTAATTTAATCCTCAAAGTAGTCAGTCTTAAAACATTCAGGAAATTTTAAAGTCTTGTCTCTCTTCACCACAAGTTCAGCTAAACTCACTGGTAGCTTTGTTTTGCAGCTGTATTAAACATCATAGCTTAACACTGAAATATTTCAACCTGGTTATTCTATTTCAGTGTTTGCTTGAAGTTACTATAATTTACTGCTTAATGGTGTCTGTCGTTAGAGGCAGTGAAACTGCTGCTGCTAAGTTCTTTGCGATACCATGCAAAACATTATTAGGAATATCTATAATTACATACAAGAAAAAGTTGACTTACCCAGCTGGTGATGAAGATCTCTGGCTATAGACCACTTCTAAACAGACAGCCCTCACCCAAAAGACATTCTTCCTTCCAAGGAAAGTTCTTAAATGAGCCCAGGGAGGTGTGGACCCTGGGTCCACCTCTTCCAGTCACATGGAAAGCACAGATGAATCTCTTGCACCTGTGCTTCCTGGGCCAGCCACCCCCTTCACCAGGTGCCCAATCATCATTTTGGGCTGTGACATAACAGTTCCCCTATAGACTAGTTGCCATCTAGTCACTTTTGAGGAATCGGTTATGTGGAAGTGAATGTTTAAGGATCTTCATAAATCTTGGCTTGTGGACTTCAAAATTGGTGTTAAATTGTTGGGATGCTGCAAGTCTAATTTGTTTTCCTTCTCAATCTGTAAAATCACACTATTATTCTTATAATGTCTGAGTTCCTCTCAGTTTCTCATTAAACAATAGCTTGTTGTGAGATCACTCTCCCATTTCCTCCCTAGGAGAAAGGCTCTCCCATTTTCAGTGACTTGCTTTGTTAAGAGTTTACATGCTAATTTTATGCATCAACAAAAAAACAACATTTTGACTAATGCCATTTTCATTTCTGATTCTCAGCTGTCATTCTTGTCACTGGTGGAGAGGATGGCTCTCCAGTCTTTTCCTCAGGTGTTTGTTATTTGCACGTAATCTTTTTTTGCATGCCTTGCAGCATTTTATTGTAAAAATAAGTAGACCTGTGGTGGTTTCAACCTAATGGGCAGATAATTGCTTCAATTACTTTATCGTTCCTGTCCTCAAAGGAAGAGAGAGAGAAAAGGTGATGGAAAAGTGCTCAAGGGTCAAGATAAGGACTGAGTATTAATCACAAATTGCTATCATGGGCAAAACACTCTCAGCATAGGGAAATGAATGCAGTTTGTTGCCCATTGCTAACAGACCAGAGCAATGAGAACCAGAACCAAAACTACCTTCCTCCCGTCCACCCTCTTCTCCCTCCTTCCCTGGAGCAGCACAGGGAATGCAGGCAGTCCATAACACTCCATCGCTGCTCCACCATAGGCCTCCCCTGGGCTGCAGGGTGCTTCTGCACCATGCCTGGAGCACCTGCTGCCTCACCTTGGTGGCAGCAGAGCTGCTTCTCTCCCTCCCCTCTCCCGGCTGCAGTTCCTCAGCTGGTTTTCCTTCTCTTAAATCTGCTCTCCCAGAGGTGCACCCAGCATCGCTCATGGCTCAGTTGGTCAACACATAACTTTTATGGCTACTTGGGTATTTTTTTTGCCACGGAAATTGGCTCTGCTGCTGTATGAGCATGTAGCACAGCCATTGTGTTTGGTCTTAGTGGAGATCAGTTGCTAGCAAAAACTCTATTGATAAACCTTCTTTAGAAATGTTGGATTTAACTACTTTGATTTTATGACTCCTGTTTTATATTTAGCTATTTAGATGGGAAATTAAAACTTAAGGAGGGCATGTGCTTCTTGCTTGTGGTCCTCAGAGCTCACGAAAGATTAGAAATCACTCTGCTTGAAGCACTGCCTGCCCAGTTTCTGCTAACAGCCACATGTGCTAAACCCCATGGTCTCACCCATACTTTGGAGTCTCTGCTGTTGTCTCCTTTACCCATAATGGTTTTCAAATTCTATTTCTGCTTCTAGTAATTGTTCCATATATAATTCTGTAGAGAGCATTAGACTGTGTGATTGGTTTTAAATTGCTCTGTTTTCTCTCTTTTTCTAATTAGAAGGCCTAATTTGTGAGTTTAAGGGGAAAAGGGGAGGAAACAATGTAGGAAATGAAAAGACTGTTTGAATTTATGGAGAGGACTGGGTTTTAAAGAAAATCTGGGCAAAGAAATATATGTGTTTTTTACACTGGAACAGCATGAAGTGTGATAATCAGAAAACCTCAGCAGCAGATGACAAAAACAAGACAAGCAAATGACAGTTCTCCCAGAAGCTTCTTTGTTGGAGAAAGGGGGGGTTGCGTGGGGACAGTTTCTGCTAATTAAAATGTAAGCACTTGCATCACAAGGTAAGAAGACTTCTAACAAATGCGAAGCTTGGGGAGGAGAAAAGAGGTGAAGGCAACACAAACTGATTGCTAGTTGGAAAACATCATTAGAATGTCTCTGCCTAAGTGACTTTTCTCTCTGCAAAATTCCTTGGCAGGCTTTCTCTGCTGTGAGGCTGTATTTATACTTGTAAATTAAACATATCTGGAAATCTTCTTGGCCACAAAGAGCAACTGGCATGAAATGACCCACATCTACACTAGTAAATTCCCTTCTCCTCCAGTCCAAGCAGCAGGACAGAATCTGATCGAGGAGTGACCTTAGAAGGAGTGCTCCCAGCAGGTTAGGAAGGCTTCTGGGAGGGCAGTGTCGCAGAGCACATCCTGGCTCCGTGCTGTCATGGCAGCTTATGCAGACAGCTGCACTTCCTTGGAGTTACTGCTCTGCTGCTCGACTCCCCAGAGGGGCTCAATGGGGTAGAGGAGGTATCCTGCTCTGCCTCCCTGGGTTTGGATCTAGCTCAAAAGCAAGAGCAGCGTAGAGCTTAGCAGAGTTGGGTTTTGTGCAGGTAAAATAAATGGAAGAAGTATCAAGGGTAGAATCTGTGGGTGCTATAAATAAAGGGAAACAGGAGGACAAGGTGGGTGAAGAGAACCAGTCAGTGGGATTGAGAACAGTTGATTAGAATGCTGGAGGAGAATAAAGGAGGAAAGAAGTGTCAGTTCTGAAGGAGAGCAGAAGAAGACTGAGAATATTTAAGTAAAGCCTTATTCTTGGCCTACTTGGATACTCTTGACTGAAGACAATAGGGGAATAAAGCTTTAAAACCAGTAATTACTTTTCTTTAAAAAAGAAAAAAGTGAAACAATGCCAAGGTACCCTTTCAAGAAAATGATACATTTCTGAAAGACACAAAGCATAAATGCATTCCTCAGTTGCTAATGCACTGTAACAGAAAGAAAGGATAAGAAGTGCCACGTGGAGAGCATCGTGTCTCTGAGCGAGGAGGCACGGTTACTCCTGAACCTTGTTAGTGTATTTCAGGAACACAAGTTCATGTAATGTGAGCAGCAAAATGTTTTCTGTTATTCCTTATATTTCCTCTCAAAGAAGTTTTTTTCTGTGCTAACAGAAAAAAAAAACCAAACAAACAAGCTTTTATTAAAAAAAGATTCCAGTAGTCAGAATTTAGCAAATTACTCTGGGTCACTATGCGGTCGTTGTAACAATTTCTACTGTAAAGTGAAACAATGTGTTTTTGTTTTTAGAATATAAACCAGTTTGTAAGATAGGAGCGGGAACGTTTTCTGATGTCCTGAAGATGTTGAGTCTTAGAGATGGAAAGTACTATGCATGTAAATGCATGAAACAACATTTTAAAAGGTATGCGTAACTAATTCTACTCCTGCAGGGTATCTGACTGAAATCTAGTGGGGAAATGAAAAATAAGGATTAAGTGAAGGTTTTTGAATACTTGTGTAGTAAAAAGGTTTGCATGCAGTGTAGGAAGAGATCTCTGCTGCTTATTATGAAGGGCCTTCCTATTTGGCAGTGGGGTTATTACCTTGAGTACTTGAACTGTTGTCCTCTACTATAGCAAATGCTGCCTGAGCACTGCTGGATGGAAGGTTAAACAGGAAAAGTAGGGGCCGCGTGGAAGCAGAGACATTCACTTGACTTTCTGCTTCAAATATGTATGCACCCAACTCTGCTTTTGTGGGTCACTGACCTTATTCTCACTTAACTCTCTTAACTTCCTGCTGCTCGCAGTGGGAGTGACACGTTGGTACAGAAGATGTAAATTAGGACATTTTGCTCTGAAATGAAACTTCACTAATGTCAGCGGTTTACTGTCTCAGAACTTTAGAGAAGGAAAAGTGGAAGTGTGAAAAAATTACTGTAAGCTCAAACAAACACAAAAGAACCCAAATATCTTCAATTAATGATGTGACTTCTGATTCTCTGCCGTGTTAGACAACTGTTGGGTCATTTATGCATTACCTACTACTGACCAGACTTGTCCAGTCTGTGATCAAAAGAGTACTGAAACTACCTGCTCAGCTACATCAAGATCAGGAGGTATGCAGTTCAGTGGTAGGGAATAACAAGCCAACTTGTGTTCTCACGTAGTACGGTTTTAATGTTGTTTAGGCCTTTAACCCTCTGGTGAATTGACAAATTCTCTTGGTAAACTCTTCGAGAAACAGACAAGTGTTCTAAACAGAACAAGCCCACTCAAAGCATTTCTCCTGGTTTCAAATTGGAAAATCATGACTTGGTGTTTAGCTTTAAAGTCATGAAAAAGCTTATGTCTCTTTGTTTCCTCCTCCCTCCTCAGAGGTTCTATAGCATTTAGTTTTGTTGTTTATTATAGTTTAGGAAGGCAACAAAATAATTAATCAACAGCTGAATAGCATATATTTTTCATGTAATTGCTTAACGTTCAAACTGAATTTTAAATGTTAAATTTGGCAAGGCTAGACTGTCACTTCCAGCAGCATGCTGAGCAATAATTGGTATGATTTAATGTTTAACGGCAGCTTAGAATGAACTGCATCATATTACGTGTCACAGCATTCCTGCCAGCTATGTCCATGGCACAGCAGCTGGTGTCTAGAGCACAGTACATGACTGATCATGTTAAGGTAAGTCCAGCTGCTCTGGACTGCAAGAAGGAATGGAGCCAATAATCTGCTGATTATTGATTTGTTCCATAAAGAAACAAAGCAGGCAAACAATTTATCTGATGCTGCACTTGTAAATTCAGTTTCAGAACTAGTGTGAAGTGAGTTTTGACAGTCGTGGCAGGGGAGGACAATTGTAATCTGGTCTCTGATTGCAAGTCAGTTTTCTTTTTCTTTTTAATTCAACTTTAGTATTGAACAAGTGAATAATCTGAGTGAAATACAAGCCCTGAGGAGGTTGAGTCCACATCCTAATATCCTTACGTTACATGAAATTGTTTTGTAAGTATGGTTCATTCATTTCTTCCTTATTTTGTTCAAGCAACATGCGGTAACTTCTGGATCTAGAGGCAACCTGTAGGAGCTCAGCCAGCCTTTCCTTCCAGCAGAAAGAAAAAACAGCAGATCTGTCAAATTCTGAAGTCATTGTGGTTTTTTGTTAAATGAGAGCTCGCTGTCTTTTGCAGCAATCTGAAAAACACTTCAACATCTGTGTTAAGATGACAGGCTAGATGTATTTCTAGCATACCTAAACTTCATGTTGTAACATAGAATACTTTGATGATTGGAACCCTTGTCCCAAACCCACTGAGTTACTTTAACTACACAACACCGAGTCTGCTGGAGACTCTTGGTTTGGCAAACTCAGAGCTTCTTTGCTGAAATATGCCCTGATACTTCAAGGATCTTGGTTTGGCCTGGCGGTTTGAAGTCAGGATCCAGAGAAGCTATTTGGCAGCATCATTTTGTAGGGAGGTTTACAGATACTCCTTTGCAAATAGTACATGAGAAGCTGGTAGTCATGTCAGCAGCTCTCTGGAATTCTCAGCTTCAGCTGCTGTGATGTTAATGCAGTGTCATCCAGATGGCCAACCAGCTCACCTAGCTCTTTCTCAGTCTGTCTGTGAACTGGATTGCTGATTGTCCCCTCTCTCAGTAGTTGTCAGGGTTAACAGCATTGCAGAGGGGTGTGCTTTAATGCAATTATCTTCTTAGAAAAACGGAAGGCCAAGAGACATCTGCCTCTACAGGGCAGTGAAATGGAAAATAAAGTATTAGATAGAGTATCATCTACCTAAACTGCTGTGAGCAGAGATTGCAGTCAGATGCTTATTTCCACTCAACACGCTACTGATGACCAAGCTAGAAAGTATTTTCATGTATGGCATAGTGTGTTTTCTACCTTGTTGTAAGGTTGTATCACTTCAATTTACTGGAAATTTCTTGATACTGAACAGTGTTGTGTAGCTCAAAAAAAGCATTCCAACACCTTTGCAGAGTAAGTCAGTTAAATTCTGCAGAAGGCACTATGGATAGTGCAAACTATAAGTATGAGAAGTCAGAGCCTAAGCTGGAAAGCATGAAAGCATCAGCTGAAAGTGTCCATTTTAGTACTAGTTAAATTACCTTTTCTCTACACTGTATGGAAATCAACATGTACATTTTATTTCTAGTTTAAAGTCTCCTAATTTGTTTCTTCAGTGATAAAAAAGCTGGCTGCCTTTCACTGATATGTGAACTTATGGATATGAATATTTATGAGCTGATAAAAGGTATGTGGCATATGCTTAAGCAGACAAACTCTCCTTGTGTAGACTACAAAGTGGAATTAATTATATTCTCTTCACTCTTCCACGTTCTGAATTTTGTAGTGAAATTTTGTGCTGTGCTGATTTACTCTCTTTCATCTACCCAGTTGTTTAAAGCATGGATGCATGCCGAAGGTTTCTAAAGAGTCAGGTCAGTGCCCCTCTATTTCTGCAGTCAAACTTTACATGACAACTTGGAAATGACCTTGACTACAAAAAAAGTGGCTTTATATAACAAAAAATGCAACCTGAACAGGCTCTTGTTAGGTCAGGACTGCAATGAAACAACTTGAAAATGATTGCGGTTTGTTTCAAACGCCGCTCAGTAACGCTTCTCCACTTTTCAGTGAACATTTTTCACTGGAAACACCCATTCTGAAGAATTCTGAAAGTGGCTGTGAAAGCAGGTGGGATGCCACAGGGCTTAAGGAAGCATTCCTACAGAAGGAACAAAAGCTGATTTAAGAAAGGATCTGTAGACACCAAAGGAGTTGGTTACAATAACCGAGTGGCACTTACTTACAATTTCAGTAGTCAAAGAGGATTTTTTGGTGGAGTTATTTAAAATTTTATTGTCTTTACGGCTGGGTGATTCATTTAAGTAACTCAACACGTGTGTTCTGGTTTTAGTGTTTGGTTAATTAGTTGGTTTTTTTGTTTCTAATTTTAAAACTCAGTGTGTGGGGGTATCAGTGACAACCAGCCTTGCCTTTGCTTCCATCAGAACAATTTGGTCATTTAAAATGAGGAAGTAAATAAGGCTCAGAGAGAGGTGAGGAAGATATTCAGAGTAGTAAAGTAAAGACTTGCTCTCACATTGCATCTGTGACACTGAGTGTTCAGATCGCTGCAGATCTGAGATTAAAATAGAGTTGTTTGTCTCCACTGATCAAAGAAACAAACATGAATAATTGCTGGTTCTATTAAGGCTTTTTTTCTTTTTTTTCCATGATGAATTTTTGAAGTTAAGTCAGATGAGTAGCTGAGTGCAGGAAGGAGCCCTCACTGATATGAAGTTAGTTCAGCACATTAACAACAAACTTCCTTTTTCCCCCTCTAGGAACTATACTACAATTGTGGAAAAAGTGAATGTATGGATTTGCTCTTTAAATGCCTTTATTTTTTTCTTTACCCCAGAGCACTTGCTTTCTCTGTGTGTGTGTGTGTTTTTTAATGTGAAAAACCTGCTATATTAGGCATTGAACACAGATGGAAATTATTTTAGTGGTTTCAATGTGTTCTGGTTTTAGTGTTTGGTTAATTAGTTGGTTTTTGTTTTTAATTTTAAACCACCAAGATTGTTTTCCAGGTAGGTTTTCTTTGTTTGTTTGCTTCAGAAAATAACTTTGGTGTTTCACAGTAGGCATCACTGGTTTCCTATGGAGCAGAAGTGGAGCCTACCATTTCGTTCCCTCTGTTACACTGACAGATTCCTGTTAGTTCAGTTAAGGCTGTTTGTGTGTACATGAAGCCATCGTTCTCTTGCTCTCAGTGTGGGGGTATCAGTGACAACCAGCCTTGCCTTTGCTTCAGTCAGAACATTTTGGTCATTTAAAATGAGGGAGTAAATAAGGCTCAGAGAGAGGTGAGGAAGATGCTCGGAAGAAAAATGACTGCAGCTTCCTAATGCTGCCTTCTTATGGCTTGCTTCGTAATGGCTTCCCAGTAAGCTTTCTGCAGTGATAAATCTGAAAGTAGAAGAGCAGCTGCTCCAGATTTTAGTAGTGACCTGTGAAGAGGAAAAGACAACTGAGCACGACTTCTTTTCATGAAGGTTTGGTTTCTTAAATACTACCAGTAATCAGAGTTCGTTTGAATGGCCAAATCTTTTAACATCTTTTCTACTGAAGACAGCAAAAATCCTGATGTTGAAACACCATCTCTTTCCACTGGGGTAAGAATATGACATTCCTGATGTAAGTGTGCTCAGTTTCCAGCGCCCCGTGAGCTGATCCCGCTCAGTGCATTACGGAGGCAGACTGGAGTCCCCACCTCCTGCCCCACCTGTTACCCACGCTGATGGCAGAGGGCACAGGCCTACCTGCTTTGGTTTGCAAAAATGTGATCACTTCTGCCACTGCTGACAACATTGCAGCATTATATAAAGGTATTACAGTGAGATTAAAAGGCCTTTGGAGCCTATAAAAGAAAAAGGCCCAGTAGTTACTATAGGGCTCTGTAAAGTAGATGCATTTTATAACTGTCATTATGGTGCAACAGCAAGCAGTATCTGGGTTAACCTGTAATTTGCAAGTCAATGGTGAATCACAGACAATTAAACATCACGCTAATTTGAGGTGATGGATAGGAATCATGAACCTGAAGGCCTGTAACTTTTTTTTAGAAAGGAAATCAGACTTTTAGAAGTGAAATACTGGAGTTCTGTCAGAATTTGGAGATGCAGATAATGGAAGAAAAACAGGCAGTAAAAGTTAAGGCTGTTTACAGACTAGAACTGACAGTTATGTTAGCCCAACTACTCTGGTTCTCACTGAAATTTAAATTATGCCTGAATTTGAGTGGAAAATGGATTACAAAGCTAGCTTTAAATGACAGAAATAACATAACTGGAAATGTAATGTCAGTGCATTATTGGAAGCTGAAGAGTATTTCCTGGTATTCTCTTGTTTGCTAAAAATGACCTGGACAACTTGACATTTAATTCCAGGACGGAGAAAGCCATTATCTGAGAAAAAAATAAAGAACTACATGTACCAGTTATGCAAATCTCTTGATCACATACATAGGTAAGAGACCAGGCGCAGCAACACCTTTGCGGTAAATGCATCATTCACTGATTTTGGGGTCACTGCTAAGTAGATCCACACAAATACCTGAGGCAGCAGACTGCTGCAGGGTGAAAAAAGGACACTGCCCAGGTGCAAGCTGGTGCCAGTGCTTTGCCAGCACCTGAGGGGAGCTGCAGGAAGCCCTTCTGGGAGCGTGGGGGCCCTTCCCATCCTTTTGTAACCACGAGAGCAGAAGCAGAAAGCTTGACCTCCCCTTCCTCCACTTACCCTTTCCCCATTCCCATACCTGCAGCTCTTGTCCCACTGTGGTGGTAAAATTAACTTTTTACCCTGCTGTTGGTAGGGCTGATGGAAGTGTTAGTTACTTTATGGTTGATTTGCTTGGTTGGTTTTTGTTTGTTTTACAAATAAGTGGAAGCACCGATAGTATTTATCTTTGCACTGAACTCTTCTCTCTGATGTGTTTATATTGGTACAGAAATGGGATATTTCACAGAGATGTGAAACCAGAAAACATATTAATAAAGGTAATGCATTTTGTGTGGAGAATATTTAACTGAAAATGAAACGTATTGGTGTATTTTTGTTTATGCTGAGAAAGTAATACTTCCTTAGGAACAGAAGCACAGTTTTTATTTTATATATATATAATGTTGTTATATATTATATAAGTAATTATATACTTACATAAGTAACTATATATGATCTTATTATAATATTTGTATTATATATAAAAATATATAAACATTATATAATTCATATTAATTACATAAAAAGTTGCCTCTGATGCTTCATCCTAATCTAGAAGAATGAAGGAACAAGCACAAACCTGAGGCAGATCAGCTGTGTTAGAGCCTCCTGTGTCCGTGCCCATGTGTCAAAGCCCTGAGGCCAGGCTGGATGGGGCTTCGAGCAGCCTGCTCTAAGGGAAGGTACCCCTGCCTCTAGCAGGGAGGTTGGAACTGGATGATCTTAAAAGTCCCTTCCAGCCCAAACCATTCTGTGATTCTATGACAATTCTCTGCCAATCTGCAAAATGATCCTTAATCGTGTATATTTTCCTCTGTGTTTATTTAGAGACGAGCAGTGGGGTTCAGTTCTGCATCTCTCTTTCTAGGTTTAATCTCTAAGTGGAAGCTACTCCTAAGGAAGAGAGCAGAAGATAGTAGCTTTCAGATGATTTCTTCATTGAAATCTATTCTCTCACCAGTTCCAGAATGTTGTTTTGCTAATGTCTGAAAAACAAGGATTTTATAATCCAGTTGATGAAACTTTATTTTCTGGAGATATTTCTTTTTCTTTTCTATATCATGGAAGCATACAGGAGAGAACTGTTGCAAAAGGAAGCTGAAACCATCCATTACATCACTGCTAAACGCAAGAAGTCAAAGAAAATCACTTAATCCAGATGTCCTATTTAGCGGGCTTCCTTTCAGTAATTGTCCATATGCTTTTCAATTAACTCTTAGGTCTGCCTTTTAATGAGGTAGAAAAGCAGTTCTTCATACTGTGGGACACAGATCTCTTCGACTCTTGGAGCTGTGTGCTATTTAAATGCAGTTTTACTGCTACAACACTCCCCTTGGGCTTTTTGATATTTTATTCTTTAAGTAATCTGTGATTTCTTTTATAGCGACTACTTCAAATGTGTCAGGAAAATCCTTGCCTGAATATTTCCATGTTTCTAAATTCAAGATACTTTATTTTTGCAGCAGAATACCCTGAAGTTAGCTGATTTTGGATCTTGTAGGACGATATATTCTAAGCAGCCATACACAGAATATATCTCCACACGCTGGTACCGAGCACCTGAATGCTTGCTTACAAACGGCTACTATAGCTACAAAATGGATGTATGGAGTGCTGGCTGTGTTTTCTATGAAATCACAAGGTACTGTGTTCAGTGGAGGGTCTTGCTTATTGATATCAGGAAAATCAAAGGTAAATAACTGAAAAAAGGAGCAAATGGTAAAGATAATCTGGTCTTTGTTTCCACCATTTCGTGGAACTTTACTGCATGATCAGTCTGCAGGGCTGATGAGGCAGCAATCTTCCCTTGTCTGGTACTCTATTCACCTTACTGTGCCAGTAGTAAAGCAGCAAGCTGTTTGGGAAAACATCATACCCATTACAAAATAGTTACAAGGAGAATAACGTTGAACAGTCCCCTGCTCCCAGGCCTCTGTCTTCATATTTGAATTTCACAGGACTGTACTTTATCTGCCGTGTCTCTGAAGTACGGCTCAAGTCCTGGCATGGGTATCACTAGTTATCCTCAGCCTTTGTTCATACACTTGATGGCAGATTTTCCCCTTTTTTCATGACTTCCGTGAGCACAGAAGATCAGTGAAGGCACTCCCTTGCACAACTAGTTGGTGTAGGAAGGGTCGTTCAAGACCCTTGAGCCATGCCAGAACCTTCTGTCCTGGGATGTTTTCAAGTTGGGTTCCAGTGAAGGAGGTCTTCAGAAAACAATGGATTACAGTCCTATAGGATTATCAAAGATGATAAAACCATAACTCAGTGAAATTGTCCTTGGTCTTCAGAAAACAAAAAACTAACAACCACCATGACTATTTCTCCAGTATCTCTGTGCCATAGCAACAACAGCAGTTCTCTATTCTCCTCCCACACTGCTGCAACCAGGAGTGGTAACATTTGCTTTTCTCCTTCCTCCTCCTCCACATGGCAGGCGCAGCTGCTGCCATCACATTAAATGACAACTCCTATGCTTTGGCTGCTAACTTGCAGAAACAGTCCTCGTTCGCTCAGAAAACTGTTAACTGAAAAATTCCAAATGCGGTGGTTCTCTTGCAAAGTAAATTGGGAACAAATGTTTTAAAAATGCCGTGTTTTCCCATTCCAGTTTGAATTGATGTGCTTTGAAGTTTTGCAAGAAAATTACACACTGCAAATGAGACATTTCCTCCTAATTTTAGCTTAATGTAACAAATTTCAGTCTTTGCAACCACTGCATATTTCCAGAGACCCAATAGATGTGTTCAGAAAGAAATGAGGAATGTTCCTTGGAAATAAGTGAATTTTCAAAAGTACAGCTTTGCCAAGCTGAAGGAAGTTATGGACAGGTTTGTTTCTTCTTAAGAGGATCTTGCAGGTTTTGCTGTTGAACATTTGCCAAAGTCTACACTTGAGACCACATTTTTGGAAGAATCTTTTAATTGTACTCAGTCACATTTGTCTTTCAAGTCTTCTCCCTTTCTCTACTCCTCATAAACCTGCGGTCCTGGATTGCTGAGGATTCCTTCCCTTTGTGCACTTGTCATTCCTTCAGTTGTAGGTTGCACTTCGAGATGGTGCATTTTTGACATTTTTGTCATTCACACAAAAGCCACTCCCACTCCTGCTTGAATTGTGAGATACAGCTGTGCAACGGGAATCAAATCTCTTTTTCTCCTTCCTCTCAAAGCCTTACAAAGACATTCAGAGAGGTGAGCAGACAGCTGTTGGATTGAATTTACCAACAGTTAATAGAAGTTTTTCCCTTCTACAAAGGGAGCTGAATGTTTTGCTTTCAAGAACCAAGTGGTGCTAAGGAGGAAGCATTTCTTAAAATTATGTGCCAAAAGAAATGTTCTGCCTGCATGGAAGAAGGGAACATATGCAAGAATTGAATGTTAGTGGACCTAACTTGTTGAGTCAGATTGCTCTATTGATAACAACGTTTTCAAGGACTATTTGCAAGTTTTATATTAACTGAGGATAAGGCTCAGGAATGTAGTTCAAATTACCATCTCTCCAGTGCTGCTGCTTGAAAAGAACCTGTGTGTAGGAATGGAATGTTTCTTATAAATATGTATTTCTTTGTGCATACACAGCAAAAGGGAATGCTCGGTTTTGCTGACTTAAAAGGAGGAAAACACTCTGTTTTATGGGATCTGCAACTGTGCTAGAAGAAAACAAAATCCTATATGCATTACCTTTCACAAAGAGGGATGTTGTCCTTACGTATTTCACCCCAACCCTGTGAGGAAAGGACAACTATAGATTTCTGTTTAATAACGCAAACTTCCTTTTCAATTGAAAAATGCAGCTGTAGTAATGTGCTGCTCACATATTGTCCTGTAATTGTTGGCTGGTATTAAAACTGTTCACAAATAAATAATCCTAAAGTTTATCTTTCTCTTAAATGGAGGAGAAAACCAACAACAATCGGTGACAGTGGTGTCACTTAAACTGGTTTAACCAACTGTGGTGTAATGCTACTACCACCTCTTGCTTTGCAGTTTTCAGCCTCTCTTTCCTGGATCTAATGATCTAGACCAGATTTCAAAAATCCATGATGTGATAGGCACTCCTGCCAACAGAACTCTCAACAAGTTCAAGCAGTAAGTATGCATTCTCATAGTTACTAATCTCAGTGGTTAAATATCCAAAATACAGCTGTACAGCTGGGATGTTTCTGGGCAGAGAAGCGCCACCAAATTCTACTTGTGTTGTGACAGCTGCTGACCAAAGAGCGTTGTCTTCTTTCTACCCCTCTTCCCCAGACACCGTCACACATCTGTGATCCTTGTAGGCACAGCAGAAGAAATCTGAGCTTAGAACAATCTTATTTGGCCTTCTTTTCCCCCACACTTGCTTAAGGCCAATGACATGACCTGTTAGGAAAGAAGATGTTTTGTCCAATATTACTTATTTTCCCCTAACAATTGATTTCCTAACGCTGATTTTTTTTTTTCAAGTGTAAGTTGCAATTTTGCTGCGAATATTTATGAGTAACTGTTCTCAACTTGCTTAACACAGGTCAACAATTTTGAATTTTCATTTCCCTTTTAAAAAAGGAAAAGGGATACCTCCTCCAGTGCACAATTTATCTGCTAGAGGATTAACTCTCCTGTACGCAATGATAACATACGATCCTGATGAGAGAATTGCTGCCCATCAAGCATTGCAGCATCCTTATTTTCAGGAGCTCTGGCAAGTGACTTCAAATCATTTCAATCTTGAACACTAAGATCAAGAAGTGGAAGAACACTGTGTGCTTATTATTTCAGGTGGATTGAAGTGAACTTTGCTTATGGTGCTGATACTTAGCTTTTGCAATACAATGAAATATCAGTCAACATAAGTCTTTGCACTAAGTCTGAACTTCACTTAAAGCATAACTGTCATTTTCCCTCTTTTTTTCTTCTTTTTGCCCCAACCTTTTTAGGGCAGCTGATACACAGGCGTTGGCCACGCACAAAAAAGTAAGATTACTAGAAAATACAGGAGGGCAAGTGCCTCTGCATTTGTGGCAAATTTCAAAGGGAAGTCAAGGAGAGGTAATATTTACATGGAAGCATTGACAGTCCATTTCGAGAAAGTAATTTGTGAGACTGAGCTTGTTAGCTAGAAACAAATGTTTTAGTTAAGCTGATTACTTGGTTTTACTCAGTCTGCCCCAAACCAATCTTCATTGGGTCTGGAGCAGAACCCCATTCCCCCAAGCCCTGCAACAAATGAGTTAGAATTTAAAAGCTGTGACACAGCATAATGCCTTTGACAGAGAGTTTTCATAGGTGCTGCTATTTAGGAAGTCAATGCCTCATTTTTCAAATTATGTTCTTCATTTTTTCCAATTTACCCCTGAGTTTAAAACAAAAAAGTTTTTCAGATACATTTTCTGTTCTCTGCTCAAACTTTATTTTTGCCTTTCAAGGCCTTCAGTCTGCATACGTTTTTTTGGTTGTCTTCTTTTTAACAGTGTTATTCCATGTTCAGCTGATATCCAGACAAATCTTGAACTTATATTCGACTCAGAAAATCAGCAAATTAAAATTGGATTCAAAATTCTGTCTACTAAAACTCTGTAGTCAAATAACGTGAAAATGCCCAACAAAAGGGCTCTTAGAATTCAATGTATCTGAAAAGTGAGACAGAAATTGGTACTGCATGCAAAAACTCTCAAGTGCAGCTTTGTCACAAAAAAAAAAAAAAAAAAAAAAAAAAGCAATCATTATGAAAATATCTGTGCATCCAATATTGAAAGCTTTAGTTCTTCTTCCATAGCATCAGACACGTTTTTCCACCACTTTAGTTCCTGGGTTAATCAATGTGAGCTTTGTGAGAATTTCCATAAGGAAAAAATTGCACAAAGCATCTCATGGGGTAGTAATTAAAAAACAAAAATGAACAAACAACAACAAACAAACAAAAACACCAAAATAGTATTTGATTTGTTTTGTTTTCTCTAAGATGTTCTGAGAGAAATTAAACGTTATTTCTCTGTCCTAAAAGCATTCTCTTAGGAAAGCCCAGGATAAAGCAAAACGTCAGCATGGATTTCCTTGTGGAGAGCTACCACTGTTAAGACCTTCTGGAGCAGCTAACTTGCCTTCCCTTCCTACACCTACTTCGCAGTCAGTTTTTCCTGCAGCTAAGAAAAGTGGTGCAACCTCTGTGCTGCAGTCTGTTAGATTTATTGGATCCAATATGGAGGTACAGATTCTCACTTGCTCGTTAAAGTATAACAAGATAGGTTTTATGGAGCATATTTTAAACTTCTGTTGTTTCTTCAACAGTCTGAGAAACAGAAGACCCTTAAGTCTTCCCTAAAACATTACCACTTACCTGCTATAGAACGAAGAGGAGAAGGTTACTGGCCATTTTAAGGTATTGAGAGTGTGAAGAAAAACAAGAGTATGCAGTGATCACTGTTAGAGATCCAACAAGAACAACAGTGCTTTATTTTGTGTTTTTCTGACAACTGTCAGAAACCTCCCAGAGCTATAAAAGGCTGCTCACCTAATGCTTTGGTGTTCTGCTACCGAAGATGATCGATGTTTAATTAAACACTCTGCACTGGACTTTCTAAATATATATATTTTTTCCTTTTAGAACCCGACAGAAGAAGGAATTGGTTAAAAATAACGAGAGGATTTGATGAGGTTCAGTATTAGGAATGGAACGTTGCCCACAGAATACAGGGTTTCATATTAGATAATAAATGACTGCTAACTTCTGGAAAGTATTTACTTCCTGTATTCAATGACTTCAACCTCAAGCTTTACCGAGAACTTGCAGATTATACAAACATATGTTTGATTTTGATCAAGTTAGCATAACTGGTCAACATTTTTATATACCCACCAGTTAAAAGGGTAAGCAACTTTTTATCTGATTCAAGAGCAAGCCAGCTAAGACTCTGCTCACATACTTGTCTTAGCGGAGGAACTGCAGTCCAACAGTAGAACAGAGAAAAGGGAGACTCGAACTGCAGAATGCAACGGCACAGGTAGGTGCTGTTTCTCTTTTTAGTTGAAAGTCGTACTGAGGAAGGTCATCTTCCTCCTACTTCTAAGTAGAAAATAATTCCTAACCACGATTATATCAGAAGTGAGTGTGAATACGTGAAGACACGGTGACCAGCTGAGTTATACTGTCCTGCTGCTGATAGTCATCTTTGTGTTGAAACCAAACAGGTGGAGAGCTTGAGCGGTAATAAGGCAATCCAATATTTGTTTGAATTTCTAGCATTGGTTTATATTAAAAAAAATAATAAATTAAAAGGTGTGATGCTAAGCTTAGGAAACGGAATGAAGGACTGCAGCTCTACAGGCAACAAAGTACAAGCAGTAACCTCCAACGTTTTACATTTTCTGCTCTGAGCTTATCCGGTGGTTTGTGCTTTTTTTCCTCAAGAGCAGATGGTGAAAAAAGGTGCTCCGACTTTGTATATCACAGCAATTTTCTCTCACATCAGTATTTGAGGCTGTTGGCCTGTTAGAGTAAAAAAAAAGCAATTCAGCAGATTGCTTTTGCTATGAAAATTGGGTATTTCATATGAAGCACCACTGTGGAATGTTTTCTTCATTTATTTTAAGCTTTCAGGTGGATCTTGCACATTTGGGCACATACAGCGCTTCATGGACGTTTATTTAATAGCAAGTTCCTTACTATTCTTCTGGAAACCAAATATAGTTCTCTGACTGTTGGACTGGTGGGCAAACTTGAGTTTTCCCACTTGCTTTCTAGTTAAAACACATTCAACTTTAAAATATAAATTGGCAAGCAATCCTTCCAGCTAAAGTTCTGCATTGAGACCATCTCTTTCATTATTTAATTTGCTTTAACCTACAGCTATTTTTTCCTACCATGTTAAGAGCTGTGCTTTTTATAGAACTCTACATTATTTCCAGGTAAGTTGTTTTCTTTTTCTTCCTAAAATCAGTTTTCCCATAGTGAAGAAAGGATGGGGGGTGGAGGGCTTCCAGGTGATTGCCCAGTGGTAGAGATACTGCAAAAAACCAGAAGCACACACGGACTCCTTCTTTGCTATTCAACTATGATTTGTAGCAGGACGTGCTCTGCAAACAGGTATGTAAGTAGCTGCTGTTATTACCCTGATGTTGGATGCTATGATCCTTATGGTACTGTTGTTGGTTTTTTTTTTCCTACAGCAGGTAAATTACAAAAAGTCCTTTAAAGGCCTTTATTACATCTTTTCCTCAGCTGTTTCACTTTGACTCAAACAGTATGAAGCACTCATACAAAGAACTCTCCAGGGAGGTAACTGCATTAGTTTTTAGTGACAAGGTTTATCTGTATTTTAACAGCTAAACCCAATACGTTAATAAAACAGAACTTCTGAACAATAATGCTGCTCAGTTTCAGTATTTTCCCCATTCCTTCTATTTTAGAAAACCCCAAGTATATTAGAGTTGTAAAGTACAGTTCTGTCTTTAAGTGATGTAGACAATCCAAATGCCAGTTTATAAATACAGCTGGCACTTCTTTATGTGCCAGCTGCATGACGAGAATAAGAGATGTAGTTACAAGCAGCTATGCAGTTGTTTCTCTCCAGGTTTTCATTCATCTCCCGCCTAAAGGTGCCTAATGGTTACTTGCAATTAAAAGCATTCCAACCCAGCTACGTGGCTGGGAGCAGGACAGGCAGTTGGTTGCTGAATTACGGCCTCATGCACAGCTCCTGCCTACTGTCAGGCACGCTGCACTCTCAGGCTTGTGGCCTCAGCTCTGCTCTGCTGACCCAATGCCCATCTGCAAGACTGGCCAAGAGGCTGCGTGTTTCTGCTCAGCACTGAGAGATGCCAGGGATGTGGGTCATTGCTGGGGCTTGGGATGAAACAGCAGCTCTCTTTTTTTCAATCTTTGCAAGAAATGCCAAAAAACAGTTGAAATGTTCTGTTGCCAGTGACTTAAATTTGTGTTGAGACAAGCAGCATTAAAGTGTACATATGCGTGAGGTGCATTTCCATAATAGTTATCAATTTAAAACTGTTGAATTGTAAACGAGATGCCTCTAAGAGGGAACAACAAGTTGTCTCAAAACCATGTCTTCTGCATGCTGACATCATTTTAAGTTTGCCAGGTCAGAAGGTGGCTGTGTCTGCTCCCGCTGGATTATTCACTTCTAACCTCCCAGACAAACAGGCAGCATTACGGGATTACAGAATCCTCACCCCACAAAGCTGTCTGCGAGATTTCCGCTGCCTGATGTGCTTTGAGATCAACCATGAAGAATGAGAACGGACCAAAGTTACTTCGTTTTCCTAGTCAAAATTCAACTATATTAAACATGAAGCAATGTTCCAGGTGAGATTTTTCAAAAGGAATTTGTTCTACAAAGTTTATATTATATTTCTGTACCAAACATTTAATTCAACAAAGGATTGATTACATCAAAACGGATCAAATTTGAACAGAAAGTAAACAAAAATGCATATTCAAGATAGTTTAATATGTATTTTCTGAATTAGAAATATCACTTTCTTAAATGACTGAGTTTCTAGTGTAATGATCCATTAATCCCCTCCCCGTCACTGAATTACATTATTTATACATATAATACAGAGCTGATTGCAGTTGGAAACAACAATATTAAAATAAATGTTTAATAGATACAAAGGATCTTCTCTCCACAACATAGTTTTTCTGGTGTTTAGACACCGATTTTAAAGTAATTTTCTATTAGCATTAAACTATTTAAGTGCAAAACAATTCTGTTTTAAAAATCTATGATTGCAGCATCCATCTTCCTGAATAACATTTGAAGCCGGAAAGTAATGACTTTCATGTTCTATGAGTGCATTCCAGGCTGTCCTCTCGCCACCTCTGGTTAAAAAAATCAGTGCAAAATAAACAATGGTGAAGTACTAATTTAACCATTGAACTTACTTCAATTTAAGAAACATACTTTATTTTACACTATATATATTTTTATTTATATATTTATATATATAGATTAAATTACACTGGACTTCAAAAGTATAAAGAAAACCAAAAATGTTACTATATTTTTTACCGCAGCACCAAAGGAAGCTTTTTTTTTCAAATGAAAACTTCCTTGGGTGAGCAGCTAGCAGTATTAGCTGTAATAAGAACTCATTACATTATTCCTTTTCAAATTACTATGTGATTCACATAATTCCATGTTTACACTCTGCCACATTATAATTTGTGATGCTCTTTGCCTGAAGAACGGCTCCTGGTTCCATTGCCATTACTTCTTGTCCTGTGTTCAGAGATTTGCTAGCAGTAGTGTGGTGGCTATACTACAGTTCCACTTGGAGAATTGGCCTGGTTTTGGGATGACAATAAACCCTGCAAACAAAGCAGTTTACATTAATCCAGCAAGAGAACCTGAGAGTACTTTTATAAAATTATTAGCCTGAAGCTAAAATTAGTACAATTTAGTTTTACCACCACTTGCTTACTGAAGGTATCAGCACCTCCTTCCCCACAAAAGAACCTCAGCCACTATGGTATCAGTCAGCAGCACACAGAAGAGCTTTCAGTACGTCAGGATACGTGTGCGCTTCAGACGCGTGGTGCACAGGATTCCAGCACTGGGTTTCAGTCTGCCTTGCGCCCCAAAGATGGTACACCAAAAAGCGATCGTTTTGGGGGTGTCAACAAACGAATCTGGCTCAGGAGCAGCAAGGTTGACAACTAACCTGATACAGGAGAACGTTCAGTCTCATATGCTATTGAACATTACAAGAAACAGAAAACTAGATTCTCTAACCGAATACTGAGTTATTCATGTCATCGTAAGGAGAAGGACACACTGAGTCAGAGTTCAGTGAAATTTCCCATTACAACTTAAGCTTGTGTTCGGAACTTATTTAATCTGCAGTGCCATTCTAATAAGATGAGACTTTATTTCAAGTGTAATTCTGCTCCTGTGTGGCAGCCCTAGCTCAGCAGGGGCTACCGTTCTGAGCTAAGGCAGCCATACCAGGGGCAAAAGACCCCACTTTCGATGTATGTGTAGTAGTCCCTTTTTATTTATTCACATAAAAGGAACCGTACACCAGTTATTTAGGAAAAGCTTAATATCTAATTACAATTTCATTTTCTTGCATTGTCACTATTTACTTAAAACTGCCAGCAGACTCACACAATGGCAGCTAAGCTGGAAGCACACCAGTGACCATCGCAGTGCCACTTGCACTACGTGGTGGGCATGATAAATGCACTTTTACCAATTCCTCTCAATAGCTACCAGCTTAGTTTCTTACCTCAAAAATAAAGTTCCTGTGACTCATCAAAGCCGACAGGTTTGGGCAGCAGTTAACACACAGTGCAGAATTAGGTCACATCTTTAGAATCTACAGGAGCTCTTTCTTGCTTGGGCTGCAGAACTGAAAAGTCACTACTGATGGAGAAATATCCTGACCACAGACAGGGGTGGAAAGGGGACTGGATGGGCTGGGTTCAACTCAGAGACGCTGCATTTTCAGTAAGAAGAAAAAGTTTCATTATTATTATTTACGGAGTAATGAGAAGGCACACTTTTAAAAGCAAACAAGCTACTGAAGCACTCCTGACAGTTTTTACCAAGAAAGGTTTCAAAGCAAGGAAGACGAAACACAACTCTACAGTTTGTTTACCGAAGCCTTCTTCAGAAGTCAATTATATCCAGCAACAACTGGAATGTCTTTCTTGCAAGATTACATCCACTAAGCAAGTTTCATGTACCCTGGAAAAAGATGTCCAAAAAGTATTATTGTAAATCTTTAATAAGAAGGACAAATGGTTCATATGCAAATATGAGCTTTACAAGCACACAGAAAATAGTAGGGATCTTTCAGGAGGATCAAGCTCAAGCAAAGAGAAATAACCACTATTCTAATACTGCATTTGTAATGCAACCATAATTGAGAAATGAAGAGTCATTTATTTTCCCACAGCTCCTGCAGAAACTGGTAGCAAGTGCTGAAATGCAGTGCGGTGCCTGATTCCCCAGCGACTACAACCAGCTCTGGAACACATAAGTTCCAAGACCAGGCACACAGATTCTCTCAGCCCTGGGTTCATCTTCCACGCTGTGCATATTCCCTGCAACCAAAGCCCACACAGCTGGCACACGAGCAGCCCTTGTTCTAAATGATTCCTGCATCTGTGAGCAGGCAGGGCACAGGGACACCAAACTGCAGAGAACGTTATGATCGATGCGTGTACACATCCTAAAACTCAGCAAGTATCTTCTTCAAACATGACCAAGTTACAGCAATGCAATTGCTATCCCAACATTCACTTCTGTGCCACTGGTCAGTGTTGCGAGTTCCTCTGAACACTTAGTCTTCCAAAATCATCTCAGACCACGGATGTTCATACAAGGAAAGCAAGAAGGTCAGGGCTTCAGGTGTGAAAGTTTTATAGAGGAAAGTAAGAATTTAAGAATTCCAGGTAGGTCCTGAGTAGCAAGAAAGATTCAATGGAGCTCTGCCACAACAAAGCAGCTTTAGGAAGTCTTGTTTAGAAAAGCATGCGACAGCTCCCAAAAGTTTTGGTACAAAAACTACCATGTCAGACTGCGATCTGTAATACAAAGGCTGTGGGACTGCAATATTTCAACTGACATTCTCCAGGAAAAAGGTTGTAACAACCTCAAAGTTCCCGTGTGGAAACAAAGGATGAAGGGATCAGAGCACAGCGCTTTCTGTGGTGAAACCACCCAGCCTGGGCAGGCGGGTGCTGAAGCATGGAACAAAACCTGCAGCACCTCGTTAGAGCAACAGAAACACTGCTGCTTAATAGCTGTGACAGAAAAAGTGAATAATGGAGATAACACAGCTTCAGATCCGCTGCGCCGAAGAGCACATAGCGCACATCAGCTTAGCTTAAGAACAAACAGACCGTACTCAGCATGCAACACAGACAAATCAAGAGATTGTTCAGAAAAGTTTTGAAAATAAATGCAGTCTTTTATTAGCACTGTTATTCTGTCAGCACGTGATGTTGGCAGGGGGCGAGAAACAGAGCAGTTACGAAACTCAAGTCAGGAATTGGATAGGACCACCTTCGTCAGAACCTCAGAGAGAGCCCCAAGGAGGTGCTGCATCATTGCTGTTCCACTGGGCCTCTTTGGCAGAGGGCTGGGTTGTTTTTCTGCCATCAGCAACGTGGGAGCATCACACGTGCAGTCTCAGGGCACGCTGCCACACCACATTGATCCACACGTTCTCTGGCTTCCCGAAACACACAGCGCTTTGTGTATTCAGTAAAAACTTTGAAGGCATCAATAGGGTTGCATGGGAATAAAAAGTGTAACAAACGCAATCAAAATGACCATTTCCATCCAAATGCACAATGCTCAGCCCTGTGGTCTGCTCAGAAAGCCCTGCAGAGGCCAGCCCTCGCGATTCCTGAGATGGCAGGGAGTTGTTTTTAAGATCTGTTTTTTTTCCTCAATTACACGAAACACAGTTTCCTAATAGAAACTCTGTGAATAGTGTGAAAGATCAGGATGAGACAGCTGATGGGAAAAACACATCAGGAAGACACAGCTAATCAGAATAAAAGCTATCAATAGCTACAGAGTTGATATTTTCTTTATGTAAATTAGAACAGCGCTAATTGGAGCCAAAGGTGTCACTGATGTAGACAGCAAACTGCACATTTGGACACATGGTCAAGTCACCGTAAAGCTGCTGCCTATGTGTGAATGCACAGCTCTGTTACTGGATGCTAACAGCAGCGACTGGGGAACTCGCTGGATGGCAGAGCTCTGCACAATTCTGCTTTGCTTGGAAATTGAAAAGTAGGTGAAAAAAGCAGCGAAGCAAACAGTCGAGTGCAAATACAACCAATGTAAAACTTTCCGGACGCACAGAGGCCAACAGGTCCCACAGTACACGTCACTAATTTGCAATTAGGCCAGCAACAAACAATAGCGGAGTTAACGAACACCCATGCAAAAATGCCATTGATCTGTTCTGTCATTGCTGCTATTGCCAATATATGAAATAATAATTACTGGCAGAGCATTGCGCACACATTTCTTGTTCAAAACTGTGATATTCAGAGTCACCTGAAACAAAAAGTCGTCCAGACTGAGCGCTTCACTTGACAAAAGTCCCACGGCCTAATCCCGCGTTGGAGCAATAATATGCTCCAACAAAATGAGATTTTTCACATCTGTTTAAAATCCTGCAGTCAAATCAGCTGAATTGGATTAAGATTAGTGTGAACAAATGGCCAACAGATTCTTATACAGATGAGTCAGCATTTATTAGCTTAAATCACTGAACTGCATATATTTACTAAATCAGATACTTTTTAGTAAATCAGTCTCTGACAGAGTCAAAATTTATCACTGAAGAAGGTTAAAGAAGTTCCAAGGCAGTGCTTGCTGAACAGTAACAAAACCTGCTACAGAGAAACATTCTGTATGGAATTCAGCTATCAGTTTGGCTCTGCCCTCCTATCTTTACAATCTGTATACTGTAGAGTTCTAAATGTTATTTGCACTTGGTTGGCTTTGTTTTATTCTAGTAGCGTTATAGAAAAGTATAACTTGAACCATTTGGCAGATCAGATCTCCTGAAAGCATGTAGTAGCAACACTTGCCCTTCACTTCTCCATATCCAAAGGAATTTTTCTTGTAACAGAGATGCATCACCATTTTGCTTGCCATCAATGAAAAGCTGTTAGAAGACTAGCAAAAAATCTTGCCTGTGTAGCAGTACAAGGTATGGTTACCTCAAGACTAGTTTTTGAATGGCAAATGGAAGAATTTTTGCTTCTTTCCTGTTGGAGAAGAGTAAGGTGCAACTAAGCATCACGGAAAGCACAGAATGCTTTTGCCAGCAGAAACCTGATTTCACTCAGTCAATAAGAACTGCAGCTTCATTCAGGCAGCGACGGCTCACATGGCCAGAACACTTCTCTCTCCAGCCTCTCCAAACTATAAAAAGCCAGTTAAGGTTTTAACTTTCTAGATTAGAAAATAACGCAATTGAAATAAACCAGGAGAAAAACTGGGGGAGAATCAGATGACTGAAGGGAAGCTCATCTTGGTTAGTTGTAGAATAAACATGATCTCAGCATGACAAGAGATGAAACAAAGGAAGAAGCACCTACCTAACATCCAACTTGAAAAACAGAAAATAATGTGACCAAGCAAGTTATTTCCTTGACAAGTTTGTGCAACGTCATTAAATAAAGGAAGGTGTCTTCTCGCTTGCATGTTCCAAGTCATCTTTTGTTATCTTCTGTGACTGCAGACCTTGTGAAGTTGGTTTGGTTTCACACACTGACGGTAGAGAACTGGTTTGAACAACCTGTTCTTGCATCACATGATGTAATTGGCCCACGTCAGCTTTCGGGACTGATTTATTTGACTGATTTATTTTGTTTTTCCATTGGCCTCTGTTCTTAAATACACACATTATACACAAAGTGGCCAGTTGGTACCTTCTGAAGTATCAGTATGTTCTCAGGTTCATTTAAGAGAGAGCATTTCCTCAGTTGTAGTCTACAAATGACTTCCCTAAGAGGTGAAGAGAGCCCTACCTCAGTCAGACAGGAGTGACACTAAGAAACTACTCCACTGAAACACTGCAATAAGCATCACTTGTTTGCTTCCTCCAGGAGTTAAGAGCTATGGCTGCAGGGGTGAAGCCACCCTTAGGCCACCCAGATGAAATGCAACTTTACCTAAAGCGATTCAAGTTCAGATGAGCTTATTTCCAGACTAGTCAAAGCTTTCCTAGACTAAAGACGCATGAATCATCTGAGCAAGCCATATCCTCAGGGCTGTAGATTCAGCATTCGTTAGGTAAATGTCATTAGGTAAATGTCAAAGTCTAACACTGGAATAAACAACGTACCCTGCGCTAGAGTCCACAGAAGAAAGAGCTCCTGGAGAGTCCTAGAAGGAACAGCAAATGCCCCGGCCCAGCTCCTGCTTGGTGGCTAGGCAGAACCAGCCTAGAAACATCCATGTCTGTGTTTTATTGAATCTGAGCTTAAAGTTCATAAATGGTTTTATAAATACTCTGTTACTCTAATCCTAAAAATATATATATGTATATATATCAGAAGACACAATCTTATCAGCAAGATTTAAACATCAAAATGTATGCATTATCTTGAGCTGGAGGGAAACATTTACTCAGAGCTGGTTACAGGATGCGCTCAACTTACTTTAAAACATGGCAAGTTAACAGTTTGCATTGTGGCCGTTTGTTCAGCACAGTATGAAAGCAAAGGACCACTACAGACTGCAAGATAAATTAGAACTCAAACATGGAAAAGGACTATTGAAAGTTATCTACATTTACAGTTCAATCACACATTTTTATTTAACATCAGTATACAGAGGACAACCCCAGCAAGTTATTTTGTAATGTCAAGTATTTAGTAAAGTTCTTCAGCTGTAACAGTGACAATAGAACAGCTAAAAATAAGCAGTATGAAACAAACATAATTTCCTTAAAATTATAAATATACCAACAATACTTCTTAAAGCTTAATTATTGCAACAGTTAAATTAACAATAGTTCATGTTAGAAAGGCTCTATGAAATTTATTCAAGTTGTCAAGAAATTAGATGGAAGTGTAAAAAGGAAATACATATGAATTTTACTTTCGATTTTCACTAAAGGTAGTCAATACAATTTTGTACAGTATCACCTAACATGGCAATCTTTAACAAACTCCAGTATACAGAATTCATAAAATGCAGAAAAAATATTGTTTAATTTTTACATGTAAATCGACAGTGAATTAACTGACACAAATTTTATTACTGTAACATAAGCAGGCCAGCATTTTAAATATTAATTTAGAAGCTTTATATTGTTAAAGGGGCAGACATATACAGTCATCGCAAGTACATAACCAAATTGTAAGAGGTGATAATTCGGAACACGGGTCTTCTAAAAAGCGTTTAGTAAAAGTCATGTTATTTCCTAATCCAGACATCTCATCATAAAGCCTTTGCAGGGCCGTGGTCTTTCCTGGCTGGGCGGAGCCGCGCCTCCTCTCACACGCGCACACACACACCTTGCTATAAATATCACGCCAGTGTACTCGGTTTAAGTTCACCCTGATAACGCGGGTATGCTCTGTGCAACTTTGCCATTACGCACGTTACAGAAAGCCTCAAATTTCAGCACGGTAACCTGAAGTCGTAGCTGTGTTTCAGTTCTACTAGAGTCATCCCTGAAGTTTATACAGATACCGTATCACGTTGAAAGAAATCTATTTGATAGTACTTAAATACCAGCAATTGAACTTCAATTGTAACGATGAAATGCTCCTTTCCACTGAGGAAGAATTAGTATGTATAGCTGCTCATCTCACTCAAAATATAGTGCATGAATGTTTAAGTACTCTTACTAAAACAGAAGTCATACTAAGACATGATACTGTACTACAATTGTAGTTAACTGGAAAGTTCAAGGATGTTATAATTTAAGTCTAAGTTTTCCTGTACAATAAGTCAAATAAATACATTCCATGTGCATTTGTTTTACAAGATGGTAACGTGTTTGTCTTGCTAGGTTATACACTGCCATTTCACCTGGTCGTGGCTCTGCCCAATCCTACCTTGAGCTTTCTGACAAAGGAAGCAACTCAGCAGCAGTTTCATGTCAATAAACTGAGCCGCCGCGCATGGCAGCGAGCAGAAGTCACAGAGGGCTCCTCTGGCCGTTCAGCTCAGAGAAAGCTTGTTGTGCATCTCTAGGCCCCACTTCACTCTTTGTTTATGGGTTTGTTTTTAGTGTTTTCCTGCTTTGGTTTTTTCTTCTCGTTGTTGTTGCTTTGCTTTTTAATTGCTTCTGCAGTTCCTGTAATTCAGTCTGAAGGAGCTATAAAGGTCAGACACGAAGCCTACCTCAGTTCCTCTCAGATTTTTTTTCCCCCTGTCTTAAGACAAATACAACAGCTCTATAATGCCATTTACATTTTCTGCAGGGCTGGGAAATAAACGGGGAAAAGGAGACAGTTAATTGTCACCATGTAGTTGAGGAAGTCCATACTCTTGTTAAGGCAACCTATTTTTCTTACTACCCTGAACCTTCTCTCAGAAACAGGCTAAGAAAAAAGGAGAGTAAAAAATTTTAATGAACCCTGAGTCTCAATCAACTTGTTTCTTATTAAATTTTTTCCATTTACTTGACCTTATTCTGATTGGGAGCTAGCATAATAGTTCTGGGAGTGAGATACAAGCATGGGATAGCCAGTGAGGAAGCTCAAGGTATGATTATGCTGTACACGTGACATAGCGATTTGGAGAGCTTGTTTACAAACGGCGAGGACGCTGTATGCACTGTACAGCCTATCCTAAGGAGCACAGCTGAAAAGAAGTTTCTGGATTTGTTTTTTTCCACTGACGGCAGCACCAGAGCAACCACAGAACTCAGACCTTGCCGTGCACTGTCCAATTATCCAGCGTGTCTTTTGATGGCTACTAAAAATGAGGGAAAGGTAGCACTGGCTCAAGGCAAATTATATTAAACGCTGCAAGTCTGCTTCAGCATTCCATCCAATTCTTTCTTTAGGCTGGCAGTGCCAGGAATTTACAGAAGGCCTTTTGAGGCAATGATGGAAGAAGCAGCAAGATTCAGAGGCTTTCACTCTAGAGTTGGCAGACAAAAGAAAAAAGTGACGGAGTTTTAAGATCACTTGGGGACCCATATTTCAAAAGGAAGACTAGAAATAGCAGCTTTAAACCCCGAGTCAAGGGACAGCCTAGGATAAAACAGGTGGCGAAACAAATGAATGGTATATAACCCAGTAAGAAAGACATTACCATGAGTGTTTTGTACTTTGACAACTCTCATTAAATAAAATTAAGTGCTTTTCTATAAACAAAAAGAATGCTCATAACGTCCTTCTGGCACAAATAGTTTCCTATCAAACCCCTGTAAACATGCCATCAAAATTCAGTTTTGACCATCAGAGTGAGCTCACTAGAAATGCAAGTGATATCAGAAAAACAAGTTCATTTGAAAATTTCTAAGTAAATACTTCCTAAACAATATGGCATTTACATCAGTGTGCAATATTAATTTTGAAAGTGATAACTTCAGCATGAAAATTACTTACCTGTAATTAAAGTTTTCCATATTGGCCAATACATAAATCCTGATTTTTGGTACTGCATACTTTATCTCTGAAATATTTGAAATGTCACATTCCAAATCAAAGTTAATGCACAAGAAAGAATGTGTTGAAGTTATAATCAGCCTAACAAAACCCACTTCAGCCACTGAAATTTAACACCGTAGCATTTAGTGCTGCAGAGAGGAATTTTAGAACAAGAAGAAAAAAACAGCTCAATAGAAATCTGAGGCACTGCTGTACATATATTATGCTAATTCTTAAGACTTACTAATTGCACTGAGTCACAGGAAGGATAACTTTTAGTGTTTTCATTTCATTCAGTGCTAGAACTAAGTAGCTCAGGTTAAGTTGCTTTTGTTTTGTTTTTTTTTTTTTTAATTAATGCTGGAACTGTAGTTCTTAAGCAAAAAATACTGTTAGCTATTACATTCCACTTTTCTCTTCAGAGAAGGGCTTGCAATTCTTAGTTATAACCCTGAAAAACGCACTGCAATGTAGAGTGGGCACAGCTGTCTTTGAGTACAGAAATAGTGACAGATTCTAGAACACCTCAAAGAAACCCACATCATATGAAATGTTTTAAGAAAAAAATCTCGAGCCTTACCTAAAATTTTACAGCAATGGATGAGTGGTGTTTAATGCTAAATGCCTACAGTACCTCCACTCCAAGAGTGAGACTCACAGAGTAGTTAAAATATTACAGCCATCAGATGGCCGTTTATGCTGCCCAACATCGTGGCACTATTTGGGCGCTGGCAGATTTCTTCCCTTCAGGCGATGACCTACATTTCACAAAACCCCAGAAGCTTTCATGGAAGTAATGGCCCTTTTTGGTGGATCAGCTCTGGCAATGTTTTCCTAGCTGTACTCCTTTAAAACACTGCTGACAAACAAAGCCAACGTAGCACAAGGTGCTTTTTAATAAAATAAACACCACTTTTAGCTTCATCCCAAGTTTAGCTGGCTGTTGAACACTGAGCAGAAGAAAAATAAGATTTTAACTGCATTTAAGTGCATTAACGGTGAAAGTTAAAACTAATAATATATTTTAATGAAGGTTCAACTGATGGTTCAGGTGCTATCAAAAAGCACAAGCTTGCGATAACCAAATTCAGCTAACAGAAGTGACAGTAACATAAAAGTGAAGCTACGTAGAGCAAGCTCGCTCTTTATTTTCCCTAATTTGATGAAGAATACATAAGTCAAGACCAGCTAAAATTAGATTTCCTTGACAGTGCTGATTCACAGTTTCAAAAGCATAAACTACAGTCAGTAATGGGCTCACAAATCTGCTCGTAGAATGGCCAACACTTTAATAAGAAGTG